ATGTAAGTGACTCTTCCTTGGACTCTTGGTGCTGTCAATATTTTATGTTCATCAAAGAGATTATTTTCAAAGACTGAGCCGTAGATATCACCACCGCTAATCATTGAGCCTACTTTGATTGTAGAGGAGGGTTTGAACTCCCAAATTCTGTCTTGATCCAATGCAGGGATGTCAACACCTCTTGGCACAAAAATGGAAGCAGATTGTTCAGCAATGACTTAAAGGGGTCTTTGAATACCGTCGAAAATTTGAGTCAAAATACCTACATAGGTTTAGTATGAATACCTGGTCCCAATTCAACTGAGAGTGGGGACTTTGTTCTCATGACAGGATCACCGACTGTCAATCCAGCTAATCATTTATAAATGAGCTTTAAGTACATGTATCTTCGTAACATTGAATAGATGCATTATCACCTTCTAATTTAATGATTTCACCAACCAACTTATCCCAACCGACTTTCACTAACTCAAACATCTTAGCTCCTGCCATTTTCTCAGCCACGACCACTATTCATATTAGAGAACACTAATTACATGGACCAGCCACTTTGAACACTCTACCAAAGCTACTCTCTTTCTCCTGCAACTCTTCCAATTGAGTCTTGCGCTATTTATTCATATCTTTTTTTAATAAAATTTATATTTAATGAACATCATTATTCACAACCTAAAACTGGAAAAGATTTCTTATAATTCTCGATTTGCTATGGGTTTGCATCTGTCGAAATTCTTGAATTCCTTATCCTTGTAAGCTTCATTATGAAAACACTCATAAGTTTTTTATTTCCAATACATAATACCATATTCTTATCATCATTATAATCATCTCATTACCAAGTCTTTTTAATGCTCTTTATGATCGTTCAGCATTCTTTTACATACACTCAATGTATTTTTACTCATTATCTAAATTCTTATTCAAACACTCCTTCTCTTTTGTCTCTACCATCTTCTAAATCATATCATAGTTCTCCTTTACAACTGGAGCTATCTCATTCTGATACTTGTCTAATTCAAAGTAGTCTCCAACAGTCTTCAAAACACCAGCCATTTTATAATAATTATTATTATTAGTTATTAAATATAATCATTTAAATCTCTTCTAGATATTTGAAACATTACTACTCTTCTTAGTATCTACTTTCGATTTTGGTCTATCAACCTCACTTATTGTTTGTAATTGTTCTGTTTCTATCATTGTTTTGCCAAGAGTTGATTTGTTTCCACTTGTATCATAATCTACAGAGGCATTCATCATTCTTTATCTTTTTACAAGTGGGCTAACTGATTGAATTGGAGATTGTCCTGAATTCGGTCTTAGTTTCTACACATTTGGTATTCGTTTCACATTCTATTCATATGTGGACACACTCTACTGTTGTCTAGTTTATATTGTTGCTTTCTTTATTTCATCCTACTGCTATTAAACTTCTTTCTTGTTTGCAATTATAAAACCAAACAGATGCAATTGTGGATCTATGAACTTCTCTATTCTGCTCTTTGCACCATTGTTGCTCTTCTCGAATTTAATGAACTTTACTCCTTTCTTCCACACCTTGTCTCTCTAATTCTCGAAATACCAACATAAAGGATAATTTAACTCATTATCAAATGGAATTTAAGCATTCTTAATTGTCTCAAATATCTCTGCCAAATGCTTGGATTGACTCAATAATGATTATGGTATTTTGTTCACACAAATCTAATTTTATCTATTCTTACTTTGCCATCCATTGGTAAAATATTTGAAACCTCACAGAATCCTTTCTAAACTGTTGGATTATCAAAAACAAGCTCACATAAAAATGCTGCCGATGTCTTTCTCATTACTTAATTTTTATCCTCAAAATTAGTAAGTATTTTTTAAACATCAATAGGCGTAAGAGATTGAAAGATCTCCTCTTAATGTTATTTACTATCATTCATATGACTCATTGATAAAATTAGCACATTTACTCAATCAGTTTCTGCATTGATTCAATCAAAAGATCAGATTCTCCTTTCGCTTGCTTTTTCATTTTTAATATAAATGATTAATAAATATCACTGAATACTCAGCTCTCTTAAGCGCAAGATATATCTCATTTCTAATTGAATAAAACACTATTGTTGATGATAAAACAAGATAAAGATGTATTGGATAACTAATACTAATCAGAAGTGGTATTAACAATAAATGATATACTCTCTCTAATGTACCAATAATTAAGCTGTAAAGTATTCTTATAGAGATGAAATGATCCTGACTTTAAACAACTTCACTTTGCATAATATAAAGATGCTTTAATTGAAGACATTATATTAGAATCATGGAATTCTTGAAATGAAAATTTTCAATATAAACAACAGCTGTTTAAAGACTTAACAAACAAATACAACTATAATAAAGGAATCTTCTGCTTAGTAGCAACCAAATATAGGTCTTTACCTATTCAAAATACTAAATTACAAATTTCGATAGTCTTTCAAAATAAGTCATGAACACTGCTGAGTTTTGAAGTAGTTAATTTTAATCAAAAAGGAAGTATGAATAGTCAAATAATATGGATCCATTTAAAATTTAATCCATCAGAAATCTTATTTTGTATGATTATCCTCTTCTCCAAAGAGTGTAATAGCAGAGAAGTGGTAATACATAAAAAATAGAATAAGGTGGATAACTTGAGGTGTACTTTGATTGAATGGAGAGAGTGGAGTTAAGGATAATGCTGTATTTCAGAGATTTGACGAAGCAAAATTCAAAGTGAGAATTATGAATGAAGTTAGTTATTTTAATGAGGATTCAGTTGATGAGTGTGTAAGGTTGTAATTTCTGAGGAGAGACATTTAGGATTGTGAAAAGGCGCCATGTAAATCTGAGTATTGTTGAATATATTTAAATAAAATAACTATGTTACAAGCTAAACCCAAGATTATTGCGCAGTAACCTGTTTACAAAGATTTTAAGTATACCAAGTCCTCCAAGTCTTTTAATCCAATAAACACACTCTTTGGAAATTAACAAACTCCCATTCTTCAAAACAATCTAGGTTTAAATTTAATACAAAATTTAGCTATACCTTTATACAAGGGGCATTTCATTAATTTCCATCATGAGGAAATCACACTCGATAATTCCATCACTCTTAGCGGTATTTAGGAAGGCTTTTTGTACTTTGTTTTTAACTAAAGATATTTGCGATTTTATTTTTATTCACCCACTCAGGCTGATCTCAACTATTATTACAACACCGTATTGATATTTATCATTATTTAGGATGACAAGAAGTACAAATTCCCTATTAGAATGAAAGAACAATAAATTAATCATACAGAATACATTTCGGCGGTAGCCTTTTAATATCAAGATGAATAATGGACCATGGCTATTGCTTCTGAGTTTTACATCTTTTTATACACTTTTAATGGTGATCTGGATAACTTTCAAATGCTAAAAAAAGGGTTCAATATTAATGGAGAAGTTGTAAACCAGATCATCTTTTACCAAGAGAACCTCATATATGGAGGCAGTTTAGGATATCTAACTTGTAAGTCTATTGACACTGCTCAGAATTACACTTCTTAATTCAAAGAGAGAATTAAAAAATAATTTAATAGAATATTCAAGGATTTTACACCATGGGCTTCAACTCAAGGGTTAATTCAATTGAAAGTGCAAGAGGAATTCAACATCTGTTATGGTCTATTCGAACAATATGATCAAGATGACAAAGTGTGTGACACTTATGTAGCCATCTATGATATTGAGTTAAAGGACCAATAATTTACAGAGATCGTACGCATCAAATAATCGAATGTCTACAATTATAATTCCGATTTGAAGAACACATTTGATCTAGGCAATCTTTAATTCTAACATGTTCATTTTGAAAAGCAATGGCATACTAATAACATACTAATGATTATCACAACCAAGGATCAATTATAAATCTATTTCACATTCGAAGTACAAGATAGAACTCTTAATGATGCCAGCTTGTATCAATCCAGAATTGTTAATTCGAATAAATCCCAAGATTGTATCAAACTCAAATCTGAGTATTCCATCCAACAAATCAAATATCCATACATGAAATTCGATCAAGAAATACCATATGGTGTTTGTCTTGATGAAAGTAGAGCCTAATACAAACAAAAGGAAATGTTGAGCATTCAACAAAAACACATGCTCAAATCGGTCTTTAGAGATGAACATGTGGCTCTGTATCATTTGGACAACTACATTATTGCTTAGTTTATTGACTTGGCTCATATTTAATACATCAAGAACTTGGAGTAGCAGTTGACTAAATACAATTCTTACAATCAATTACAATATTCCCTTTATAGGGATTCTTCAAAGGAAGCAGTCGAAAATATCGAATTGCATCAAGTAAATTAGAACGAAGAATTCCCAGAGAATCTATACAATCTTGGAAGATATTCAATTAAACAAGTATTCAATCACTCAGACATCAATGAATCTTAATTGTACAATCTACCAGAACATTACGTATGTATTGCTGACCATACAATAGAATTTATTGTAAGAATGAGACCGATCGATTTCTTTTTCACTGCGATTAAAGTCACTCATTATGATTTCATTAATCAAGTATATGAAGATTTACCTTTAGAAAAATTGATAAGAGCTTTTGGGATTGAAGAAAGTTGTGCCTAAATCTTGTAAATAATAATCTAAGAAGATGCCACATTTTACATTAACGTAGAACTCTAACATCAATACTAACTTGATCTGTAAAAAGCATATTAAAGAATACATTTCTCAGAAAACATTGATAAGTTTTTTGATGACAATGAAAAAATACCTCTTTGGGTTACAGGCTAAGTCTATGTCAGCAAAGGATCTATAATTAAGGATAAGGCAATGAAAGCTTACTTTTCATTAATCAAGAGATCATTATTAAGTGAAGATAGAAATTAGAAGTCTAAAAAGGTGTTTAGTACTACTTAGTTGATTTGGAAAATCTTGGCACCATTGACTACCAAGAAATTCATTGATGAGAAAGTGTATAATTTGGAATGCAATCAACCAATAGAAAGTTATTCAATCTAATAACTCTAAATGGCTTATAAATAGATAGAGAAATTATTGAAATTATTTGAGAATGAGCCGAATTATTTCCAGAAGAGAAAACATTAAATAGCTGAAACATCTTAGGATGAATAAATTTCATAGATCAATTACAAAAAAGGATTCAATAAACACATTTATGAATCCTTTGAATTAAGTTCAAAATTAGATATGTCCAGAAGTACTAACTATTCTGATCAATCTCTTGTTCAAAGTGTCAATGTTGATATAGAACATGTATTTTCATTCATTATTTTAAATAGACCTAAATGAAAGGACTCTTTGATTTTTGTCTACAAATCAAACAATTATTGCAATTTTTCATCTACTTTTTTGGAGACCTCAATGGAATCAGAAACATCATTAATAGCTATTCCAATAAATAATAGTTATTTGATTTATCAGTCAAAACTATACTCAATGCAGATCCTTCAAGTCTGCTTACATTGAAATAATTAATGATCCATATCATTAAAAGTGATAAGTCCAAATTCAGAGACATGGCACAATACATGCATGTTAACTTTTCAGAGTATTTTACTATTCAAGACTTCAAAATTAGTCTAGCTCAGAACTTATTTGATGAAATACTGTAGTTTGCTGCCTAAAAGAGTATCAGATTTTATTTAATCTTTAGACATAATCAAATTAAACCCCAATGAATAGATTCATGAAAAAATAAAACGAATACTAAAACTTTCAAAAGCTCCTTAAATCACCTTTGAAAAAGTACTTGAGAAAAGAGAAATTTTTATCTATTATAAAGAATTGTAATCTGAATTGTAGGAACAACTAAAAGAAGCATTGAAATCAATCGAAGAAGTCATATTTGCTATCTCTCATTCTTATCTATCTTAAAGCTTTTTGAATTACATGTTTCCCTTTGGCACCTTTAAGTATTATATACAGTTTCTGGCTTCAAAGTGTTAGCAATATGAAAAAGATCAATTCAATGATGAACATAGAATTTGCTTCTTGGATCTCATTCAACAATACAACAATCTCATACAATATTATTTGGATCCTCCTAAAGGTTTAACTAAAGCCTAAGTCTATGATATATTGAGAGATTCTCTACAAATACTGAACTAATACAAATAAATTACTGCAACTGAAGTGGTTATAAACAATTTAATTAAATAAAAACTAAAAGAATTCATTGCCTACATCGATTATAATTAAGATTTAGAATTATAATGTAATGAACTTGAGAAATTGTAAATCCAAAAGAAGCAATTACTAGTAAAATCAGTCAAAGGAGACAATGAGGCTGTCCATCAATTAATACAACTATTACTCAAATTGGCACAATTCTCTTTAGTTTAGAATTCAGAAATGACCTTGGAAGATATATAAGCAATCCTGCCATTAAGAAAACGCTTGAGATACATATTCAAGGCCCAGGAATTCATAAAATCTAGTTAAAAAAACGATGTACCAAATGACATTCTGCAATTCGAGAAATAAGCATAGGACTTAAGCAAATTACTATTTCTTTAAGACATTATGTATGATTATATAGTAATTAATGATAATGAAGGTATATATATAATGATAAGACTTTTTTAGATTATTTGAGCTAGAAAAGAAGAATATTAATTGAGATCTTAGACTGTAATATAATTATGCAATTTTTTGAGGATAACAATATATGTTTCGGATAGATTTTATGTATGGATTATCTGGAATAAAAATAACAAAAATAGTTATACAATGAATTTTTTATTGATTAAGTTTGGACTAATTTTATTGTCTATTCCTATTAAGAAGCTAAATAATGGCCTTCTGAAATATTCAAAATGTAGATGAAATTAGTATTGGAGAATCTAACAAATAAGGATAAATATATTCGAGTCTAAAAAATCACAGAGACCTTTGAATTGGTGAATAGCAAGGAATGCTAAGAACGGAAAATTACTTAACTTTCCACTTGGTTCTTTTTTGAATTGTTGTTAAATCATAAGATAAGTGAAATGGAACTCACATCCATATATGTGAATAATTTGATCAATAGTGTGATGGTATAGGATAACCCTGCCTATGAAAGGTTGCAGATTGACTAGTTGCATTTATATAAATTGTAATTGATTTAGCAAATTTTGATTCTATTTAATACTATTAAAAAAAATAAGCATGATAAAACTTAGTTTAATGAATTACTAACATAGTTTAGAAATGCTTTCAAAGTATATACTTGATATTATTGATTTTAGAATGAGTATAGTTAATTTATTGATGACGATGTTTACGATTAGACAGTAATTGAAGAATTAAAGAAATAAATTGATTCATTATGATAATTTTTTTTGTTTTTATAGCTCAATTTTAGGTTGACAAATTATAGTTATTTTATTTTTAAATTCAAATGTAGTAAGAATCATATTCTTAAGACGCAAACATATCCCCAAACAATTATCAATTAAGCACCCCTACCAAAGAAAAGAAGCAAAATAAAACCAATCAATCAACCACAATACAATCTCCTAATAATAATGATTTTTATTCTCCAAAAAATGTCAACCCTTGGAAAACTCCAAAATCCTTATTAAAGAGCAATCAAAAACAAACAACTCCTGATCATTCCTAATAGGCATCCCCCTATGGAGATCGTTATATTCCACTTAACGTCTCAAGAAATCTTTTCAATAAACAAATACAACCTTTTGAGATTGAAGAAGAGAATGCTTACGAGGAACTCTTGAGTGAAAATGTTTTAGAAATAGATGAGAACAAGCATTCAAGTATTTTGAATTTTAACAAACAAAAACCTGAAAAATTATAGACTAATAAATAGTAAGAAACTCCAAAAAGAAAAATTGATACATTGCCAATCAAAGTACTTGATGCCCCTGGATTGGAAGATGATTTCTATTAAGACATCTTGCATTGGGGCAAGAACAACCTCATTGCCATAGGATTATAGAGAAGTGTCTATTTATACAGTGTAGACACTTCTAAAGTTTTTTAATTAACACATCGATTGCACAATTAACTTAATCAAATACAATATACTTCTTTGTAATGGAATGCAAATGGGTAGATTCTGGCCATGGGAAGCTATGATGGCCAATTAAAACTATGGGATTACAATAAAAATGCTTATACAGGAAGCATGAATATGTCTTCGAAAAGAATCAGTACGATAAGTTGGGCCAACTCTAATATTTTTGCTTATGGTAGCAAAGATAAAACTATCCATATATGTGACATCAGAGTACCCACTTATTCGGTGTTTTAATTACATGGACATACCTAAGAGGTTTGTGGGGTGACTTTTGATGGCAATGAACTACAACTGGCTTCAGGAGGCAATGATAACAGGGTTTTCATTTGGTAGTTAAGGGGAGGGAATACACAAGCGGATAGTCAATATGTCTCGTGGGAAATAAAATCGCATAAGGCAGCCATCAGAGCTTTGGCATGGAACCCTAATTCAAGTGGAATTCTAGCTACAGGAGGGGGAAATCAAGATAAAACTATTAAAATTCATAGTTCTTTAACGAATACAGAAATCAGTAGTGTTAATTGTGATTCTCAGGTTTGCAAATTAAGATTCTCAAAAATTATCAATGAATTGGTTTCAACACATGGGTATGAAAAAAACTAAATATGTTTATGGCAATATCCAACAATGAAAAAAATGCATTAATTAGAAGGACATTCTGAAAGAGTGTTATATTTATCAGCAAGTCCTGGTATTTTTATATTTCATATTTAATAGACGAATCTACTATATTGACAGGATCTGGAGATGAAACGTTAAAATTCTGGAAAATTTTTCCATCTTAAATTTCCAATAATATGTCTTCACTTCTTACAATGTGTGAAATTAGATGATTTAATTAATATGTATAATCACATATCTTTTAGTTGTTTTTACAACAACTTCACTAATTATTCTTTCTCCTATAATTCTTTATTCTGCTTAGATATTTGTTCTTTCACAATTAACAATTTATCCTAGTAATCCTCTAATTCTCTATTTATCATAAATATATTACTCTTATTTAACTTGAGATTAGCAATGTATTTGACTTATTTTATCCTCTAATGACTTTTTGGTTTCCAATAACTGCTTCCATTGAATTTCAAAATTCTCAATTGAGATTTCCTGCTTCTTTGGTTTTATCTAATTCTGCTATTGTAATTCATTCAATTCCTTAAGCAAATCCTTATATTAATCAATTAACATCTAATGCTCCAATTCTACCGAGTCTATCGATTCATCAGAATCGGACATTTTATTCTTAAAATAATTAAAAATTATTAAAATAATAATATTAGATGGAACTCATCCGATGAAGAATAATAATTTAATACAATTTAACTATTATTCCGATTATTAATACAAACAATAAAAATACATTATAAAACCTAAACAAATACTATTTTAGTTATGAAATACAATATATTATAGTATAAATAATTAATTAATGGACGATTTTAATGATTTATTCCCTGTCAACGATTTGTAAAGTAGTTGGAAGAAGAAGAATGAAAAAAAGGCACCCATGAAACAAGGCAAATTTACAGAAGAGGAAATCGAAAAAGTAAAAGAAAGTTTGATTTCCTATGCATTATCTTAAAACTTGTCAGAAGAATAATTTGCTGATTTATTTAGCAATTCTCAAAAAACAACTATGCCAAAAGCTTGGTTATAAATAGCTAAAGTACTTCCAGAGAGATCTGTGGATAGTGTCTATAAATTCATTAAAGCAAGATTCAACCCTGACAATTACTAAGGACATTGGACTAAGGAGGAAGAGTAGCATCTACTTCAATTGATTAATTAATTTGGTCGGAACTACACTTAAATAAGCAAAATTCTGAACAGAACACCTCAAAATATTAGGGATAAATATAGACAATTGGGAGATCATAATCATGAACTTAGAGAACTAGTCTGGACCTTAGGAGAGGCAGTTCATTTACTGAGATTGATTTCAAAGAAAGTAATCAATTGTTATTAAATTATAGAACAATGCAAACTTTATTAAGGAGGATTGGTTAGACACATTAACATAATAATTTGGTGAAGACTGGCAAGACGTAATTCTAACTACTCAATCGTGTATTTATTATTAAATATAAAATAGAGAAAAAGAAGTTTCGTAAAAGAACTTATTATGAAATATAATAAGAGGACGCTTAGACCTAATAATTACTCAAGATCATTGATTTGAAAAAACTATATTCTACCTCTCATAAAGATATTCCTTGGACCTCAATAGCTACGAAAATTCCAACCAAAAGTCATGATGATCTCAGAAATTTTTGGATGCAATCTTTAAATTAGTGGCAATTACAAGTCAAACTCAAAATCGATGATGAATAATTATTTAATGATATCATTCTTTAAGATCCATAAGTAGAATAAGATATCGATTTTAATCTGGTTTTAAAAAATTTCAATCTAACAAAGAGTGAAAAAAAAAATGCTTGGGAAACTTTAAAAAAAAGAGTCTAAGTGAGAGATTAACTTGAATTCGAAGAACTTTTAACTAAAATTAGACAGTTATTTAGTAAATCTAAAAAAGAATAAAAATAGATTAAAATTGAATAGAAAAATCTGAATGCTACTTCGTTTAATAAGTTAGTTGATGAATTTAAGGCGTTAAAAGAGGTATATTGATTTAAGATAATCATTTAAATTTATATTCATTATAAATATTTTATATTCATTATAAATATTTCATATTCATTATATATAATTTATATTGTTAAGTTATGAAATTTAGAGAGAACATAAATGTATTGATAATCTTCAAAGAGTACTAAATAATAATTATTTTAGCAGGGTCTTTAAGAAATGAAATAAGGTTCTACTTTATAGACAATAAATAATTATGCATTTTACCATGTCTAATTATAGTTGAAAAAAAAATTACATTTTTGTATTTATCATCTTTTGTTTTTTCATATATTTTCTTATCAAATTGTGTGTTTTCTCTAAAAGTACACATTTCTTTTTTGAATCATCAAAATTTTCAACAACAAAAAGATAAATAAAATAATAAGGATTTGATGCAACTGAAAATGTTTTCTACAATCAGTTACATCACAACAAAATTTAAAATTGGAATAGATTCTATTGAAATTAAGGATATGAATAATGGATATTAACGTGTCTATCCCTATTTATGCTTTAAAAAATTGAAAATTTATTATCATCTAGGTAAAATCCTAGGCAAAATAAGCATAAATCATGTGTCCCTAAAACGACCAATATTTAAATTTTAAAGATAGGCCTTAAGAGATTATAATAGGAATTCAGATGCCTTTTTTGATAGCTAGATTTTGATCAGTTAAAAAAATTGATATTTTTAAGGCAAAGAAACGCAAATAAATTCATTAATTAATTTTACAAAACCAAACATCCTCAATGTATAGTTGCTCTTTTCCCTATCCATAGGTGTTTTGCTATTATCCAATGCAAGCTTACACACCCTATATCATCTATCCTTAATAAATTTTAGTTCAACCCTAAGTTTAGACCAATGAAAATGATGAATCAAAGAAGAATAGCATTAAAATGGTTACAAAACAACATTTAGAAGAAACAAAACCTCCTGAGAACTATGAGAACTAAGATTTGGATCTGGCAGATGAACATTCAGATGGAAATGATGAAGATTACAGTGCAAAAGGCTTGAATGAGAATCAAGAAAAAAGTTATGCTGTCAATTAATTGAATGGATCAACAAATATTTAGAAAAATTACGCAAAAGCTGTCATCCTGTACATTAAATAACAAAATGCAACTGTTATTTCTCAATTAGGAGATAAAAAAGCCTCTAAGTTCTATCGGTTAGTAAAAAAAATGCAAAATAATATCAGAAACTTATCTCATATAAGCAAGTATACACGAGATGAAGATTTCATTCAACTTTTTAGAATTTTATGGTAAAAATATAAAAATAGTATTTAGTAATAAGTTTTTGAGAAAAGATTGCATCAGTTACATTTACAACTCAAAAATCTAATAGAAAACAAGCCATTTGAAAGGCAAACATATTATTAAAAAAAACCTTTTCAAAATCTGATTACCTTAAGCTTTTTCAATGATATAAATAATTATTATTAATAAATATTTTTTTTAACTTAATTTGAATTATAAAAATATCACAAAAATAATAGTAAGCAAATAATGTTATTTATTATCAAAATAAACGCAAAATGCATTATAAAAATACTTTAAATAATTAAACTATATACTATTTTTATTATTTACCTTAATATGTTCTATTCTTAATAACCTTACATCTACTTTCCATTCTATTAGACCTAAATGTGCTATCCAATCTACTATTGCCCAATTCAACCTTCACCTCAGACATAACCTGCCGATTAGGAAAAACTTTCCTCATAAACCGATTAGTTAAATTACAACCCTTTAAGCAATCCAACTTTTGATGTTGATTAGGAAAAGAATTTTGATTCATCTGTGGAAAATGAAAAACCTAGTTTCATCACAAATGAAAAAAATGAATCATCAAAATCTAAAAAAACCTTTAAAGTTCTTGATACGACTAATTTACATAAAAACTTTTCAAAAGCCATTGTTGCTTATGCAATTAGACAACAATTTCTTATTTTTAGAATTTTAGGAGAACAAAAAGGATAAGAATTTCTTGAACTACTCTAATCTCTAAAAAATAAACTAAGCAATTTGACTCATTTTGTTAAACATACTAGCAATTTAGAATTCTAAAAAACATTTCGCATTTTAGGGTAAGAATATAATCTAAATTTTAGAATGAATTTCCTTAAAAAAGAATCTATCCAATATATCTATAATTCTAAAATCTAAGAAAAGTCTAGCCATTTGAAGCATAAAAAGATCATTAAGAAAACTCTTTTAAGAATTTGAATCTAATTTTTTTTTATTCTTTATTCAAAACAAAAATAAACATTAAATTTGATATTAATTATTAATTAATTCAAATTCATACTATGTGTTAAAATTTTATAATAATCATAAAACACTAATAACATAATTTTAACATTAATTTAGAATTCTAAGACACAATCAAATGATAAAAGTCTGTATTAATTGATAATTTAATATTTAGGGATAAGTAAAATATTTTAATTACAAAACTTCCATAACTTTCTATTTGTAATATGTTCTATATTCCAAGTGATAATTTTTCTTATGAGATTTAAATAAAATTATAATATCATAAAATATACAAACAATGAAGTTAGAATAATTATATGCATATCATCATTGTTTTAATTTTTATTGTAATATTTCTAAATTCTTGTTGATTTCTTCAGATAAATATTTAAGCTCTGGGTACAATTCACCAATCTAAACCCATAAGGGGAGAACCAAAGATTCTAATTTTATGTGAATCAAATTACTTGCAAAAAATGTCTATCCTCCATAATAGGTGGGTTTGTCTTTATAGATTAGAAATCCAGTCACATCCACTCCAATTTTAGCTTCTTTGATTGTCTAAGTAATTATTATAGTAATTATACTTAATCATTAAATTCTTAGGTTAATAAATAGGACCAATTCATATAATTATTGAATTTCATTGTTGGATTTGATATATCACAAGCATGAACCATGATATTAAGAATAAAGATTCTGTCTTCAAGTCTTTCATTTGAGAATCTCTGCATCTCTATTAAATCATTTTTTTCTCCTTGATCGAATTATTTAGTGCATTCTACTCTTTTTTAAAGTTTAGCTAAAAGTTTTGCATGTTTACTCTATTTTAGAATATAAAATGATGAATACCATATCAGTTGCCAAAATTGATGTAATAATCAATCTCTTTGCTAGAGTTTTTTCCTCATCATTTGACATGTATTGAAAGAAATCATGTTTTCTGTTGAGTTAAATGATATTAAAGAAAGTAGCACAATGCATATTTTCTAGAACAGCAATTTCGGATGTTAGAATGTTGAATTTCTTTGACTTTTTGATCTTATACATATTGTTAACCCCCTCTAAAATATAAATGATTTGATTTTTTACTATGGTTTAAATCATGTCCCAAACCAGCAAGAATTGCAGAGAATATTTCAAGTTGATTACAAAATTTCTTCAGGTCTGATTTCATATAGCATGAAAATAGCAATTAGGATAATTGGAAGGCATGGGTAAAATTATGATAAGGTACAACATTATAATTCATGACAATTTCATTTATCAGATCTCCCAAAATTTCTTTTGGCACTTTGATCTAATCCAAATTTAAGAAATCAAACAATTATAGTGCAAACTGACCCAATTCTTTTTTTGTATAAATGTGATGAATCATATTCGAATCTAATAAGGTTTCCAAATCTATTCTTTCCTACTTCTAAGCATCCAAAATAAGATCTTTGTAAACTGGAACAAGTTTAGTTTAAGTTCGTTCAAATTTCTCTAGTGTGGCTGCATAATCAGTTTTATCAAAATAGATTCTGTTTTCCAGTTTTCTTTTGAATTTCTTGACTGTTTGTAAGAAAAATCCATAAACTGAAAATAAACCATCATCATTCATAAAATTGGACTGTATTATATAAATGTAATATTACTTTGTACGCCTCATCAATATATTTGTAGACCTTTTTAAATTTCTATATAACTTAAGCATCATTTTGATCTGCTTGTTATATATAATATTAATCAATGAAACCCAGCTGTTATCCTATTGAATCCAAGTATTCAGTTGCAGATTTATTGTTTTACATTATTATATGGCAAATAAAAACAAAAAAAAACAAAATAAATTAAAAATAAATCAAATATCTTGAAGATTTTCAAAACCATTACTAAGTTAACTGCTCCTGATACTATCTTCAAAGTTATTAGACATCATATTTTTCACATTGATCCTATCCACCTCCACCTTATCTAAAGTTTTCAGTTTTTTTCTCGTTATTTAACTGTTAACCAAATAAACTAAACTGTTAAAGAACCCTTGCAAAAAACTTAATCCATATTGGACTATCCTAATATACTAATATATCCCAGTTCCAGATATAAAATAATTGATTTGAATCTACTAAAACCAATCATTGTTGAAAGTGAATATCAAAAACACAATTAATGAGGGCAGCCAGCAAATAAACAACCCAAATGGATAAAATATAAGCGTTTTAGCAAAAATTAATTGAATGTTGATCTGTTTAGTTAGCAATTCATGTTGACTTTTAATTTTTTTAATTTTAAAATACGATCTCATTATGAAATATACCGAAATTAACACTGCAAAAATTAATGGTGTGTAGAACAACATTAGATTTAAATACAAACTTAGATTACGATTTTCGTCTAATGATTTATTTTCATCATTTGAGCTGATTGAACAGGTAACCGGTACTTTTTAAGGTGTGGGAGCATAGGAATCAAAAAATAATGGCGGAATTGACATTAATATTGGAATAGCAAAGCCTACTTTTGTTTTTATGCTTACCTGATAAAAAGATTGTCTTCTGATATCTCTCTAATTTTGCAATACTTTATTATCCTTAAATGATTGAAATATATAACAAATATGCTATAGATGTGCTCCACAAAAAAGCACTTATTGTTCCAAATTGAGTTATTACTCCTTAAATAGTACATCTAAATCATTTATCATTACAAAACCTAAATTTATTGTAGTCACTAAAAGCAGGCTCTACGTACAACAATAATCCTATTGAGTAAAGAAAATCTGATATTGAGAGAAAAAATAAAATCCTTTAAGCTAATACTCTCATATTATCGAAAAAGTACAAATGAGTCAACATAAGTGTTGACCCTCCAACTGATAGTGATATGAATATATAAAATAATAATTTCATTAAATAATATATAATAACATAAGTCAAATTAGAAATCTTGGTGTAATGAAACTAAGTAACTAAGACCATTCTGTTTTTAAATACATTACTTCTCATCAATCTTTTCATGCGCTTATAATTTATCCATGCACCAGGATGCTCCACTCTGAAATTTAACATTAACATGCTGTATAAGAATCAGAAACTTAGAAATAATCTTATAGAATTTTTAATAGAAAATATTTAAATGCAAAATTGATCAAAATATCAATCATTAATAAGAAAGTGATCTGATATAAATTATTCCTTACCCTTTTAATGTATATTTTATAATGAATACTCTAAAATTTGATAAGAGGATAATAAAAATTAATAAATATCATCCTCCAATTAAAAAAACTAATTCCAAATGTGATTAATAATGCTACATTTCAGATTTGGTATTTAGAAGGTTCTTTTTGGGATATGATTTAAAGCCACTATTTTTTACTTATTAGATGATCAAATTTGTTGTGGGTTTACAAAAAGTAACAAAGACTAAAAAAGTACGAGTTGAATAGATTCAAATAATTGTAGATACTGAATATACAATCAAATAAATATAAAATGGAGTAAATTAAACTATCAATATATGAAAAGTAATTAAAGTATTGATATCAGAAGAAAAGCTTTACACAGGAATAGCTAAGTGTTTTAAATTTAGTAATTAAATAAAGCATATCAAATTCAAAAGCTGTTTAATAGATAATATAATATATAGGTATAAATGGCAATAGGAGGCAAAGATTTGAATATGAAATGATATGCTTTATTTAGATTTAAATTCAAAAGATTACACTTGATTAAGAATTGCATAAAGAAATCATTTATAGTTTAGTCTTCAATTTCGGATCCATTATATTGATATATTAATTAAACATTGACATATATAATTTCCATTATATTTTATTTAGGAAATATTTAAAGTATTATTTAGAATAATTATTTATTCTAATTTTTAATTGTTAGATATATAATATTTTTTCTAAATTATGACTTTTAAAGTATCAACTTAACTTGGTAGTTAATGGTTAAAAATGGGGTTTAAGAAACTTCATGGATTCAGAGCTTCTATATTTTGATTAAAAGTCAGATTCAAATTGCATAACAAGAATTTCGAAGAATCTCAATCAGATGTTAAATAAGTAGAGTTGATCAACATGTTAAGAAACTTTGAGGAAGATGAAAAGAAAGGCCTGAAAATATAAATTGATTTTTTTTAATTGTGAAATAATAAGTTTTTATATTAATATATTTTATCCAAAGCTAAGGACATTATAATATGATAGACAGATCATTTTTGAAGGTATAAGCAATTCATTGGATGTCGTTTTGTTACTCCATATATTTCTATATTTCGGATAGAAATACAACTAATTTAATTTGTTTGGGAATTATGTGCTTGGTATTTCCAGTGATAATAATATTTTAATATGCCAAAATGCATACAAAAATCATTGGAACCATATTTTGTATTCAAATAGATTTGATATGCCTTATAATTCTGAATTAATAAAACTTAAACCATGCTTCGTATGCTTAATTAATAGTATGTTAATATATTTCGAAAGATCTCATCAAGAAGGTACAGACATAAAACTAGCATTCTATAAGCATGATGTCCATATACTATGGTTTGATAGTAGTCGTATGTATATTTCAATAAATATATTTGCATACTCAGAACTAGTTTCTATTAGAGTACCCACAATTAATGCTATGTTTATTGATGTCTTTATTGGAAAGCCTGATATTGAAAAAGAAAAATTAAAGTTAGTTGAATACAACAATTCCAATGGATATAGGACCAATTCAGAAAATAGAAAGTTTAGGAAAAAGAGCCATTTCAGTTGTTGACAGTGTTAAAAATTTGATTTTAGATCAATCAAAGGAAAGCCAAGGAATACTATGCAATAATTTTAGCAACATCTAATAACATTATATCAATTCAGAAATAATTTATAATTCACTTGAAATCTTACAAGAAGGTCTCATAGTATTAGACATAATAGATGAAAAGACTTAATAGTTTAAGATATAATACATGAATAACGCGACTAGAAGTTTATTTGGTAGAGAATAGGATGGAGAAATCCTCTATATTTTGGAGAGTTTCAATACATTACATATTTAGAGTTAAGATGTATTGGATGATCCCAACGTATAACAAAGACTATCAAATTTACAGTATTCTCGTGTTAGCAAATCCATCTTTTTATAAAAAGACTTGTTTACTTCAGTTAAATAACCATTATTAGATTGTCAAATGTTCGAAAAATATCAAACAATTAGTATGAAGGAGCTTCTTGAGAAAATGATAAAGACAAAGAAAGCAGATGTTATAACAGTGAATACACATTTTAGTGGTAGTATTCAATTGAATACAAATAAAAATATAACAACATCTCAATCTAATGGTGGAGGCTAATCGAGACAGGAATAGAGTGAAAGATTAATTGAATTCACTTTAACTCTTACTAGGGATCGAAGCATTTTGATAATTTGTAGAGATGTAACACATAGATAAAAAATAAGATATTTGAGAGATTATGACATTTAGAAATCAAAGATGCTGTCATTTGTGAGTCATGAATATCGCCAACCATTAAGCTGCATTATTTAGATGATTGAATGTGTGCTTATGTAGCCGATCATAATCTCAAATACAGAAATAGCAGACAATTTACAAATAGCGTTGGACAATTCGAAGTACATGTTGAATTTGTCCAATGATTTATTGGATTTGGCTTAAATAAAGAATGGAAAATTCAAAATAAAGAAGGTATCTTTCAATTTTGAAAACCTAATCAATGATTGCATGAAAATGTTCACTTTAAAAGCTAGATTGAAGAATCTGTATTTAATAAAAAAACTTAGTAAAAATATCCCAAAGTTCATTGTATCAGATTAGAATAGACTGAAACAAATTATTGTCAATCTGCTAAGCAATGCTTTCAAATTCACTTGTAGCAAAGTAGAAATCATCGTCTCGCTTTAGTCTGCTTCGTTGAGAATTGGAGTTAGAGATGATGGAATTGGAATTAGTAAAGAGGATTAGTAGATGTTGTTTAAGGCATTTTCTAAGGTAAATTCTGAAGAAAGCAGGAAATTAAATGAATAAGGCGTTGGATTAGGATTGGTTATTAGCAATCAGATTGCGTAGACTATAGGATGTAGTGGATTGAACATAGAATCTAGAAAGGATCAAGATAATCATTATTCCTTATTCTATTTCGATGTGTTAATAGAATAGCCAGAAAAAAAGAAAGTGGCTAGTTTTAAAGTTCCTGAAATCTATCCTCTATATCAGGAAGTTGACGAAATACTAACTTTCAATCGCGAATAACAGAAGATAACTCGAGATGTTATTTCGAAATGTTCTCATTGTTTGATTGTGGATGATGAGTTCTTTAATGCCTACACCTTCAACTAAATTTTATAGGGAGTTCTGAAAAGCCATTTTTAATAAATTGACATAGAGACTGCCCTTTCTGGGAAGGAGTCCATTGATAAGGTGAAAAACAAAAAGTGTAACAACAATTCATGCCAAGGATACAAACTAATATTCATGGATGTAGAAATGCCCATCATGAATGGAATACAGACTACTAAATAAATATTGTCTATTCATCCCAGCTAGATCATCATTGGTTGTAGTGGTTATACAGATAACTAAGAGAAAAAGAAATGTCTCGATGCAGGAATGTCAGATTACATCACCAAACCTGTCACCGAAACAGAACTTCAAGAAATACTCAAGAGATATTTATGAATAAATATTATTATTATTTCTAATCGTTTTTTCAATAACCCTCCATGACAAATCATCTTTCATATAATTCACTTGATCCCCCATAACGAGCTTGGATATCCCAGAAGATATTTTGGAGTGCTTGTGTTAATGACAACGGTCTAACACATAAGTCATCTATAGTTTTTGATCCAGCTTAGACTACCATATCATCTCCATGTTTTAAGATGTAATCTATATTGAAATACTTCCAATTTGGAATATATTAAGCTATTCATATAATATCGCGTATTTACCAATTTTTAGTAATAATTGCTTGTCAACATGAGCCAATTTTGGTGGTCTCTAAACAATATTGTGAAACATCTCGTAACATTCCAACAAAGTATACACATGAGGACCTCCCAATTCATATGTTTGTCCTATTGTTTCAGGCATTTTTAAGGCATTTAACATTGCTTATGCTACATCTTGAACAAAGATCTAATGATAATTGAGCATCCCTTACAGGTTGTCTTTTTGCTTAGCAATTATCTGGCACTATATTAAAATTATGGAAGTATCTCTTTTGAACCTGCCAATGATAAGCGAAATCATCATTATCTCCAACCATTACACTTGGTCTGAAAATAGTGGCATTTGGAAAGGCATTTAAGACCTAGTTTAATCTTTTGCTCTACCTCCTATTCTCCTATGTATTTAGTCTGTAAATCCAAAGACTCAGCATGAGGATTGGCTCCACAGGCAGAAAAATGAATCAATCTGATCACTCCTGGGTTTTTAGCGCATGCCTCAGCTATTCTTTTGGGCACTGTGATATTGATCCATTCAAAATCCTTTCTGTTCTTTAAATGCTTTCTTGGACCTAGCAAATTAACAACAACATTTGAATTCTTCATTGTCCACTCTATCATCTCTTTGTTGTCATAATTCATATCGTGTAATAACCAATTTTAACCAGGTCCTGATGTTGTCTTCAATTCTCTTACATGATCCTCATAATTATATCTTCATCTTAATTTAATCCTTACTAGTGATTGTGAGGAAATATTAATTCTGATCCTATATTTCCAAGCATACCACCCATGTAAATCCCTGAAAAACTGGTACCCCCATGAATTGTAGCTCTGATTCCAGATGGAGTATGTTTACTACCCTTATCAAAAATGTGCAATCTTGGTCTTGACAATACCCCAAAGTTGAATCTCAACACCTTCTACATTATTAATAATATATTTATTCTTTCAAAACTTAATAACAGAACCACATTTATTAAAAAAATATATGCCTTTGGTGGGGGTCGATCCCACGACCTCGAGATTATGAGACTCGCGCTCTAACCAACTGAGCTACAAGGGCATCTCTGATATTTCTCCACTTAAATCCAAGATATACGCTTTATTATTAAAATTTAATCCAAATTACACAATTTATTAAAGGTTCTTCATTATTTTTGATCTCTCGTGCACTATTAATTAAAATCATTTTGAAATTAAAACAATTTAGCCCTATCTTTTGATTTTTGAATTAAAATTCTAAATGACTAGCCATCTTCATTTAATTCGGATAAGAAAATTAATCTTTAAAAAATGATACAGATGATCTATTCCTTTAAATCTAATTTTTATAAAATGTTTTTGTGAAATTCAGATGTTGTTTATAATAAGTTATTATTATTAAATATGTATTTAATTTTCTTTTCGCTACTATTTTTATCATATTGTCAAGATCCTACAGTTTTTAAGGCATCTGACAAGGTCTCTTATATAATAAAGGATAGATTAAAGCGACCAAATGACTTGCTGTTCTTTACAGAAGGCCTAACATTTATTGCGGATGACATGCTATTGGAGAGCACAGGGTTGTATGGAGATTCCGAGATACATTACATTGATAATGTGTTTGATAAATAGAATATTGGATTGAAAGCACGATAGCCGATTGGAAAATAATATTTTGGGGAGGGGTGTTCAAAAATAAAAAACAAAAACGGAAAAGATGAGATCTATATGTTAACTTGGAAAGAGAGAAAAGCATTTCTATTGAATAGCAATTTGCAATTGGTTTAGGAATTAGAAATCCCAGGAGAAATCTAGGAAGGGTGGGGAATGACTTCTTATAGGAATAATGATGGCGAAGACATATTGTTAATTTCTGATGGAACAAACAGATTGTATCATGTAGACCCAAGCGATTTTAAAGTTAAGAAAACTGTAAGTGTTCGTTTGGAGAATGGAAGTGATCTCAATAAATTAAATGAACTAGAAATTATTGGAGATGGGACAGTTTTAGCAAACATTTATGAAACCCCTTTAATTGCTTAAATAGATCCACATGACGGAAAGTTAATAGACATTCTTGACTTTACTGCGTTGATCTAAGATGTAGAAAGTGTGAAGGGAAAGGGATATGCCGACCCTATGTTTAACAAGGTATTAAATGGAATAGCCTATAAAGATGGCAATTTAATATTAGGTGGTAAGCAATGGCCATATTTTTATTAAATTGAATTATAATCATAATAGTCATCATGAATTCTTAAAATCGTTAATAATATATATACTAAAGTAGTATTAATGAATATAATTATATAATTAGGTTTCGTTGCTAATAAATTTTGTGTTATTATTTGTTATTGAATACTTATTATTTCTACTAGTGAGTAAGGTTTTATTATTTTAGTTCCTGTACAAAACACAATGAAATTATTGGAAGCTAGAAACACCGATTAGATGATGAATCAAACGAGTATTCTACAAATACCTAAATAGAAGGGATTGTGAATTATTTCTATAAGGGTTTTTTATTTTATTTTATCATTAAATTGTTTTATGTAAAGGCCATTAACCAGCCTCACATCTTCTCAATAATAATCAAAAATTTATGATAATAGTAGTACTTCATTTAGAATTAAGGAAAATAAGAAAAATAGGTAAGTGATTTCTCTATTTTGCATAGGCAAATGCCGTAATAGATGCTTTATGATAAGGAGGGATTGTATGAGGAAAACTTGAAGTTGAAGAAGGAATTGCAACAGGTGAAATTTGAATTGAAGAAGGAGAGACAGGAACATGCCAATTTTGAGAAGCAAGTGCAGAAAACTAATGAAACTTAAAAAGATGTAATTATGTGATCATTTAGACAGTTTCAAGTAATCTTGTCTTAGAGAGCGAGAATCAAGGATTAGGATAAGCTAATCAAAGAACTTGAGGAGTAGGTTTTTCAATTGAAGCGCAATCCAGAAAGGACTAAGAACAAAGAATTGGAAGCAGAATTAGAAGAATAAAAAGAAGCATATCAAAAATTATAGTTATACATTAGTAGCAAATGTAATCAAGATACAAATGAAACCTTGATGGTCAATTAATCATTAAAGGATCAAATTCAAATTAATTTGGTTTAGGCCTACAAACAAGACAACTTGAATTTATCATAAATGATTCTCAGTTTGTAATAGGAGAATCATGGTTTACAATAGAATTAATTATCAATTAAGAATGAGAAGGATAGATTGACGAATAGGTTGAAGGAATTGGAGAAACAATTCGAATCTGTGAATAAACACATGATGTATATGAGATAAGAGATGTAAAACACTAAAAAGCAAACTCCATCTGAAGATTATTTGAAAAAGATTGATGAATTGTAATAATAGGTCTAAAATTAAGCAAAACAATTACAATAAAATAAAAAACTAATAGAAGAATTGGAGCAAAAAAATGGAGAGTTATAGCATAATTATGATGTATTTAAATCAATGGAGAGTAAAGAGAAGGAAAAATTGTAGGATAGATTGAACATGCTAAAAAAGTAGATAGAGGAATTGAATTAGAAGAGAGATGATCACGAGTAATCTTAAGAAGGTTCCCTCTAATCAATTGGACTTAAATAAGCAATGACAATTTATGGTAGTCCTAGGAGTAATAATAGTCCTTAGAAATTGCAATTACAATTGGGTTTTACAAGCAAAAAACAATGTTCAAAAGTGAATTCTTATGACATCAAAGAGATCATTAGCAATTTAAAAATAAAATTGTTGAGCAATAATATTGATTATGAAACATAAGAATAAATTTTGTGCGAAGATGATGATGAGTTTTTAACCTTAGAGGAAACGCAATTACGTTTGTAAAAAGCACCCTTTGAATTAAATGAGGATGAATCGAGTCTTTTAGCCAGGTATTTGATTGAGGACAACACTGAAGATCATATTCTCTATGATTAGCAAAGAACACAAACTAAGATTATAATCAAATCTGTATATAAGAAATTATTGGGGGAATTCAATTTGTTCGATGCTTTAGAGAAGCAATAGATGTATGAGTATTTTTGTCAATTGTTTCACAAATATAATTAGGGAATGGAATCTGCAATTAAATAATTCAACATTAAAAAAAAGTACTTGGGCAATAACTAATGTGAATATGAAGATTTTAATGTAATTCCACATTTGTAATATAGGAAGCACTTAAATATTGCGATATCCTTTTAACTACCAGACAGAGACTCTATTTGGAATTGGAAATATTTTCTGATTCTTAACAATTACAGCGATTTAATTTTTAGACTCTATTTTCAAAGTTTAAATTAAAGGTTTCTGATTTAGATAATAGTATTAATTGAATTAATTTTTCATTTTAATTTATGGACACAACTATTTTAGAAGCAATCAAACAACTTCCTCCAAAATAATAACCAACAGCTATTGCAATCTAGCATCATCTTAACAAATGGGCTGATTCAGAGAAACAAGTTTCCAAGAAAGTACGACAACTCTAGACAGAGTATTTGAGGAGTGTGATTCCTTTGTAAAATGAAATCAATGCCATCATCAAAGGTCTCAGAGCTCCTACAGAAGATGAAATTAAGGATGCAAATACTTACTAAATAGAAGTCAAAGATGTTTAAGCATCACCCCTCTAAAATTATTGGGGACAAGTTTTGATGAATAATAGTTTGACAGGAAAATTAATCTCAGAAGCAGACAAAGAAATCTTTAAACATTTACAATCAGTGAATGTTGAATTAGGGGAAAATGGCAAAGATTTCACATTGAAATTTGAGTTTGAAGATAATGAACATTTTGAGGCATGCATCTTAACTAAAGCATATGTTTTCGAAGACTCTGATGATGAATTGCCTTCTAAATAAAAGGGATCACAAATTAAATGGAAGGAAGGTAAAAATATCACCAAGAAAATTGTTAAACGCAAGTAAAAAAATAAGAAAACTGGATAAACTAGAGATATTGAAAAGGAAGAAAAAGCCCCAACCTTTTTCCATTTCTTTGAAGAAGTCGATTAAATCAATAATGAGGATGAAAAAAATGAGAGACAACAATTTGACTATGAATTGGGATCTTAATTTATCAATTAAATCATTCCTAAAGCTTTATTCACCTATTTAGGATTAAAGGTAGATGATGAGGAAGATGATTTTGAAGGAGACGAAGATGAATCCGAAGAAGAAGAGGATTCTTTAGAAGATGATGATTGAATTATATTATGTTGTTATTAAATTTATTTTAAAAATTTTGTACATTTTCACATATATGAATCAATATATTTGTAGGATAATAGAAATTTTTTCAGAAGTTTTTACTAATGATATAAAAAGATAATTCATATGAGTGAGACAATTTTTTAGATTTTAATATAAAAATTTGAGACAAACCTTTTCCTTTATGTTTTTAACTTAATAAGCTCGGAATATATTCAAAAAAGGCAATATAGTATTTCATAGCATATATTTGAGGATAATCTTATTGTTGCTTTATTATCCTTTTTAATAGAAATACATATTGTCTGTTTAGAATAAAAAATTGGATTTTAGTATTAATTTATTGATTTAATTAAATAAATAAATTTCTTTAAATATAATTTTCCCATTAAAGGCATAATTAAATTAATTCTGAACATGAAATTTATTTTTGTATTAAATTATTAATTTCATTTCCCATAACAATTTCGTATTAGACACTTCATACAATCGCCTATAAGAATTAATTATGCAATGTATTCATTTTTTTAAAACTTATCAAAACTCATTTATATATTTAAAATGTTATAAACCATCGTTCACTACAGGTATACAATAATTTAATTCTACATTAGAGCATTTTCTAATAAAAAATAAAATTTCTTTTCCATTCAATAATTCATATGAATTGAGAATATTTAATATAAATATTTGTTTATTAAATATGGGGAGCCATATAACAACTGTAAAAATGAATTCCTTCAGAAAAAACACGAGTCCTTTATTGAATGTAACTCTTTCGAAATTGAGGGATTATCATGCTTCTTTTAAATCAATTTGTGACAACTTCTCAATGGACTTGTCAGAATTTGAACATATATTTGGAGCTAGTGAAAGTGCCTTTGTTATTTGGGATACAGATAATAATGGTTTAATAGATAGTTTAGAATTATTTAGTGGTATTTGTATATTTAGTGATACTAAATTCGATGATAAGATTAGATGTACATTTGATAATATATTTATTTCTAGTTCTCTTTGATTTGTTCGATTTCAATGAGTTGGAATCTTTATCACCCACTGACATTGAATTCATGATATACTGTTGTATGAGTGCCACTTTTAAAATATACTCTATTTCAAGTGAAATCAACAATGAAGAATTAACAGTGTTTGCCACTAAATATTTTGAAAAGGAGAATAGATTAACTGTGGTTGAATTGATCAAGTAAATATTTAAAATATGGCAGAGCATCAAAGAATTCCCCTGAAGTAAATGACTTTTTCTAAATCATCAAGAAAGATTTAATAGAGAAGGTTGACGATGTAAAAATTCAATAATAACAATAATAATAATAGTTTTGATATGAAGTATACTTATAAAATCATATACAGTATTCCACTATCATCATTTCTTAAATACACATAATAAAATATGTTTCAATTCTTATATATTTAAAGGCTTAGCCAATACGTCATGCATCCCTGCTTTATAACAATTGTCAATCTCCTTTGTACCAGTGAAAGCTGTCAATCCAACAATTTAAATATAAGGAATTTAGGATTTATTCATCATGCTTATCAATTATTTAGTAGCCTCAATCCCATTCATAATTGGCATCTAGTAATCCATGAGAATTAAAGACAGCAAATTACATGAGGAACAACATTTTTATAATCCTTACACTACTTAAATTGCTTATAACCCATTAAAAGCTAACACAACTTCAAATCCCATTTTGGATATCAAGACTTATAATGACTTTTGATTAAAGATTTCATCATCGACACTCAAAATCCTCATACAATTACATTTTTTTAGACTATTCAATCCAGTCATAAAAAGTTCACTCTCTCTTTCCTCTAATTGTTTAATTTATCTCAAATTTATAACTTTGGAGGATTTATCTTTCAGTTTGTTATATACATTATTGATATCTGTTATCAAAAATGGACTTAAATTTTCTAAATCATCCAATCTCCTTTCTAAATAGTCATCATTACTTTCAGAATAGAATGAATCATTTTAAGATTTTTTGGAAGGATATTGGGCATATTAAGTTTTGATCTAAGTACTAGTTATATGAAATTCGGTGGCTTTGACTAGAGTGCCCATAACATTAAAAAGAGAACTATTAACTTGTAATTATTGGGAACATGATATTTTGAATTGACTTGATGCACTTCCAGCATTCATAAAATTAGAAGTACTGTTTTTGATATTCTATTAGGAAGCAGGGACTCGAAAAAAGTTTTTAATACAAAATGATATTAGCGTACCTTTATTTTCTCCTTCTGACTTAATTTCGAAAAAAGCCATTTCTGGTGGAGCTAGATATTATAAAATGATAGAAGAAATTAATAAACCTATACCATGCCAATCTTTCACAAATTCTTTATTTTTATCTACATTCTTTGTGATTACTTGTAATTTGTGTAATACATCTTATTGAATACCTATTCCTTAATCAGCTATTTCAAATAATATATTCTGATTAGGTAATGATATAAGTCTAACAATGCAGCCTCCTTTAAATGAATATTTTAAAGAATTTTATATGAGATTAACCAAGATTTAAAGGAGTTTCTTATAATCAGTACAAAACGAACTTAATTAGTTTTCTTTTAAATCAACATGGAATGCTAATTGTTTAGTATTGAATTGATAATAAAACATCGAACTAATTTCTGTAATGAGTTCAGAGATGGTGAATTCTCTGAGTTTAATTTTGATCTGATCTTGATAAAAGGAAGAAAAGTCAATGATGTCATTTATCAGATATTACTGTATTTTTAGGGAATTGATGGCTGGCTCTATCTAATTATCCTTGACTAATTGGGGTATCTTCTGTTCTTACAAGGAGGATGATAAAAAATTCAAGGCTCCATTCAAGGGAGTTCTGAGTTCATGGGAGAATGATTGAAGGATCTAGATATATGTTAGATTTTACTTTGGATTTGAAATCATTAATAAGAATATTTTGTTACATTTCATTTTATCCTGAAACATCATTCAAAAAAATTAATAATTCATTGTCTTTTTCATTTTACACAATTTATCCAAATAATTATAGACAGTATCCATCCTCCAGTTTTTACCTGCATGAGATTTCATAATAACCAGATTGATGAAGATTTAGGAAGGAGGATTGGACTTTGCTCTTAAAGTTCAAAACTATATCATTCAGAGATTGATAACCTATGGGTATATCTTGAAGAGTTTCTTAGTTTTTCTAATTAAAGGTCACAGTGTGAGGTCTTCTGAATTTATTGATGAACTAATTGATAGATGAGACATCTTATTCCTCAAGATTACTACTGGAAACATTAAAACTCAAATGATACATTACCAAATTTTCCAACTCTTTTTCTGTTTTATTAAAAGAGGAGAAGAAATTATAAAAAGACTAGTTTTTATGGACAATTTACAAATTTTGCATGGATATTATAATGACAATAATGGGTATTGTATGCATTCTATTCTTCCATATCTCATCATTTTGTTTTTCGATGTGAGAATACAACGAATTATTCTGATTTTGAATTACGCATGTTGAATTCAATTATTTTTTGGTTTATGCCATTTTTTAAAGCAAATCTTTAAGTAATTGCAACACCAAAATGGAACTCATAACTATTATGGATAGTAGGTTTCCGTTGATGCACACAACAACAAGTGAACACAGTTTGATAATCGTTTATTCCAAAGCATCCATATGTGTAGGTTCTTGCATCAGGCTATCAATCAAGAGAGCTATGATAATTAGGTTTTCTTAATCTAAGAACAATAGGACCGCTAAACTTATCAATTTGCTCAATAAGATCATGGCAAACGTCCATGCATATTTAATTTTGGATGTCTTGAGGAATATTATAATAGTTATTAGGATGTTATAAGATATGCTGCAAATCATTAATGGTGATTGAGTTTGCTCAATTCCTAATAGAACCGAATATATTATGATAAGCAAAACACAGAAACATATCGATATATATTATTATTTTGGTTGTCTAGACTCCTTTTCCTCTGCAGTGTTAATTTCTATTTGAGGATATTTAAACTGGTTGCCATTCATCTCAATTTTCAATTATTTTATATAATACTTTTTGCTTAAATTAATAATAATGCAAGCTATTATTGAAACAAAGACTTGATATCACAATAATCGCTCACGAAAGCTATATCTCAAATTCTTAACCACTCCCTCTCCTTACTTTTGCATTAAATATTTAATTAAAACCTTATAAAGGATTAATTAATAACTCAAAATGTGGTTCATTCTATAATTCCTATAAATTCACATGATTTCATCATTAGAAACTGTGATTCGAATCTCAGAAAATGCAAAAACTTGGTCAGACGTCCAAATCAGTTCTCCCAACAATACTTATATACTAAATATAGAGAACACAGTAACATATCCCTATTACGCTATTAATGTTGAACTGCATAAGCAAGATGACACCTTTTCATTGCACTACGGAATCGATAAACCCCCTGAATTTAGTTTAAATTTATCTGAAATCACGGAAGTGTAAGGATTCGATATCTATGGGTATTGCAACTATACTAATGCATATTAGGTATCTTGAAAATAGGTTTACCCATTTCATCCTGTTGTCCAGCGAAGATTTCCATTCAAAATAAGTTTATATATCCACTTCTTCAGAATGGACCCAAAACTACAATATTACAGTTACTGCCACTTATGATAAACTGTGTCCAAACAACTGCACCAACCAAGGCAGTTGCTAAGTATTCAATAAATTATCTATGAAGGATGGAAAATGTTTATGCAACAAAAATTATATTGGAAATGACTGTCATTAACAGGCAACTTATATTGTATAAAATAAAGAGATATTTCTTAACTTAGAGAACACTGTTAAGTATGCTTACGTAGATTTAGAAGAAAGTGAAAATCAAACCATGAGTTTAATAGTTCAAGTATTTGAAATAATGAAATCAAGACTAACAGTTCTGAGGGAGTCGATCTCTATATAATGAAAACTAGAGTTCTTTACATTCCTGCATTGGAGGATTTGAATAGGAAATATTACGATCAACTAGTAGAAGGCAATGAAGTTTCATCCCTATACCCAATTGAATTTGAATTAAAAGACAGAAATGATATTAGCACTCAAATTCAAAAACGAGTCAGATTTATATTCAAATAGAAGTCTCTTAGAGAATAACACATTCAAATTTCTCTGGATCTTATTAACCAACGAACCCAAAATACAATCTCAACTACTACAGTAATAATCATAGTTGCATCGATTGCTGGGATTATTATGTTCTTGAGTGTATCGTTTGCTGTCGGCAGATACTTCAGAAATAAGAAAATTAAGGACACCTTGGCTGCTTTGGCCATCATAAGATAGATGCAACAGGAAAAAAAATACAGTGCAAAGAGCTTTGATGACGAAATCTTAGAGCAACTCCCCCAAATTTAAAATGATCAAATCAAAAACACAGATGTCTGTCCAATTTGTCTAGATCTGTACATCAATAAACCAGATCTCAGATCTACTAAATGCAGGTATTGTATTAAACTATCTGAGACATTTATTTCATAGAGAATGCATACTTTCTTGGATCTATATCAACAAAAACTGTCCCACCTGCAGGAGTGATCTAAAAATACATATGAATCACCATAGAAACCAACAACAGTGATAAATATTGTTTAAAATAGATTTCATTAATCTATTAGTGCAAATTTCTTTAAATTTATCATTTATTATATCATTATTCAATTATGGGCCCTAGAAATTCTAAGGATAATAAAATATCTTAGGAAGGAACAACCACATAACACTCAACTCCTAATAGTAAAACTGTTTTCATCTATAAAGCTAGCAATAGAGCCGATATTTCAGTTGAAAATAAAAAATCCAATCCTACACAGTTCAAAAAAAGTACTAACAATAATTATTCCTCAGTTATTTCATTAATAAGGAAAACCAACTATAACATGGCCTTAAAACAATTGGAAATTATGGAGGATCAGCATTCTGAATCTCCTGATTTTCATTATTGGAAGGGTAACCTCTTAAAATTACTTTCAGGTTTGGCACATCTAGGATTAAATGATCTACAAAAAGCCTAAGAATGTTGTGAATAAGCAATTAAATATGATCCAAATCACAAACTTGCCTTGGCAGAAATAGGTTAAAAAGAGATTTAACTCTTTTAGGGAATATTTATATATTGGCTCAAAAATACGAAGAGGCTCATTAAGTATTCACAGAACTCTTGAAAATAGACCAGAAGTCCTTTGAGGCCCATTTGGGACTAGGCTTTATTCGAACACAAATCAATGACTTTAAGACCGCATAAGAGCATTACGAGTTTGCTTTAAATTGTGGTGTAGAGGAGAAAATAACCTCTCTGAATTATGGTACAATGTTAATAAAGTATTTCTAGGCCACATGTTGTTTAAATAAAAAAACTATGACATGGCCTTGAAATTTTATACAAAATCATTAGCCATTGATAAAGAATATCTGAGTGCCTTTAAAGCTATTGGAAACTTATATTATTAATAAAAAAAGTTCAATGAATTACTAGAATTCTGTGAATAGAATAGCAGCAACTCATCTTGGAATATTCATGTATTATAACTAAAAAGTATAATGAAACTCCTAATTCAATAGGTTAAGCCTACTTTGGATTAGAACAGTATGATAAAGCACAACAAATATGTGAGTTGATTTTAATGGAGGATAAAAATAATCTTGAAGCTCTCTATAATATATCAAAATGTCTCAAAGCATAAGGCAAATATTCGTAAGCTCTAAATTGCTTAGAGAAAGTTCTCTTACTTTCTCCAAAAAATAAAAAACTGTTAAATTTTAAAGCAAATCTCTTAATATCCTTATAACGCTTCCAACAAGCATTACAAACTTGTGATGAACTATTTTAATTGGATGCTGATGATTCATACTCATTTTATATAAGAGGTTTGGTATATATGAATATGAGGGCATTTGGTAATGCAATTGATGATTTTGAGAAAGCAATAAATTTTGAACTTCACCATACTTTTAATTAAAAAGTTTATCAGTCTAAAAGTATTTATTCGATATTAAATTTTCAAGTTAAGTGCCATTTAGAATTTCAATAATTTCAATAGATTTAAGATTGCTACGACTTTCTACTGGCTTTTACTAATAATGATTAAGATAAAATCAAAATTCATATTGACAAAGGGTACTATTATTTAATCTCGAAAGATAAGGAAAATGCTGAGATAAATTTCAATAAAGCATTAAAATACTAACTTAATCCATTGGAGACCTAAGTTAAGATTGCTAATTGCTTTAGGGACACCAAGTATTTTAAACAAGCTCTTATGTTATATGATAAGATAATCTAAGCAAATTCGAAATTTGTAGATGCTTATATTGAAAAGGCGATATTAATGGATTTATAATAAAATAACTCTTAAACGATTCATTTATGCAGTAGAGCTATTGATCTATAAAAAACTTAAGCCAAGCCATATATGTTGAGAGGAAAAGCAAACATCTAAACTCAATAATATGATGAAGCCTTACAAGACTTTGAGTAAGTATTAAAACTAGAACCCAATAATCATCAAGCACTTTTTGAATCTGGCTAGGCTTAATACATGTCAAGCAATTTCGAGAAAGCATGCGAAATGTTTGGAAAAGCCCTGGCAATAGCACCAGAAATTGAGTAATATCATATCAAGAGGGCAATCGCTCTTTCTTTGCAAGATTTTGATAAAGAAGCAATAGAGTATCTAAAAGATGCTATTAATTAATTTCCAGAGTTTGAGGATTGCTAAAATCTTATTGATAGTTTAGAGGCCAAACCTAAACATGTTAGAGAATATGCAAATGTATTTGTGTATCTGATAGTAATGTTCTTTGAAATTGGTGAATAATTATCTAAATAAGAATCACTGGTACCGACTATTGAAGTAGATTCAATCATTTAATTGATGAATCAAAAAATGAAGGAGAATTTTCCAAAAATATCAAATTTATTTGAAATCGTTCGCTACTTTATCTTGAATAAGTTCGATTGTGAAGTTAAGATTAGTAATGAACAAATTATAAGAGTTCTATTGTCTATATATTAAGCCAAGTATCATCCTGACAATGGCACTAAAGTAGTTATGATAATGGATATGATAGAATTAGGTAAAAAGATTGCGAGATTAAAAGATAGATAGATTAGAGCAGGTATTAAATTAGAGAATTAGAGAATTCAATCAGAATTCTTAAAATTCTTATCTAAATCTAATAATTCTATCTTTATCTCCTCCTCTGCTGGATTTGCTATAAAAGATTCAATTTAAGTTCTGCTATTTTTAATATTAAACTTTAATACTATAAACTCCGATTTAACAAATCTCAAGAACTCAATATACGGTAATGTAAAAAATGGGGTTTTAGATGCCATAAAACCTAAATGATATATAATAACTGTTAATTAGAAGTTTATTTTTTATTTTTATTAATAAACATCATAATTTGTAATAAATTACCACTATGATCTTTGCTTATTATTATTTTTTAACTTTAGCACTAGAAGACTTAAATTTAAAAATATTCAATATAAAGTAACACATTATAGAATCTTAAATGTTAAAACTGTTCTTATTAAAGATAAAAAAAATTAGATGATTTTAATTATTTTATTGATTCTAAATTAATTAAGACCATTTTAAGGATAAAATAATGTTAATTTAATATTTGATTTATATAAAATCAACCAAATTTTTAAAGCTGATGAGTTTTTTAACTGATAGTTTCTATCCATGTTGATCCTATCTCTTCAGATTGGATAGCTCTTTTTAATTCAGCAAAAGCAAAATTCTTTTCTTTAAAGAAACCTACTACTTTCTGAAGAGCCTCAGGTGGATTTTTCTCCTCAGAGCAAGCAATAAGTTCTATTTTTTGTTTTTATTCTGGACTTAGTTATTCAAATTATTCTAATGCATTTTAAGGGTAACTTGCTTATCCATCTGTATAAAAAAACATAGAATGCCTAGAATAAAACAAATAATTACGAATGGAATTTATCAAAATCAGGCCTTTAAATAATTTTTTCATAGGCCTAAAGGAATGGATAATTAAAATTTGTCCCACCGCCAATTAATTTTATTTTTTCTTCTTGTTCTTTTGGATTAATAACTTCAGAATCAATTACAACTCTTGCATTAGAATTAAATATGATAATTGTTACTCTTGAATCTTTATTTTTCATTTTATGAATTTCTGAAAGAAATGCTATGATACCTGCTTTTGCATTATTAAACTTTTCCCCTTCCATGGAGCCAGAGTCATCTAACATAATAACATAATGCATTGTTTTAGGTGCTTGTTAGAGTTATTCTTTATCAAAGTCTTCCTGTTTAATGAATTAAATTTCTTATCCAATCTCTTGTGTTAATTACTTACAGATCAATTCCCCAACATGCAAATTCCAAATATCAGTAAACTTTTTTTTCAGTAAAGCCTTCTTTTCTGCAACATCTATACAAGAGAATTAAAAATCACTATAGATCTCCTTGATATCTCCCCAATATTTTATTGATTTGGTTTCCATTACCTATACCTTACAATAATCTTGAATTTCTTCACAAGTAAATAATGAAGGTTTGACACCTATCATTACTCCACTAAAACCTAATATTGGATATTAATATATTACCTCTTAGTTAATGTCCGCTTCTGAATTAGTGTTTGTGATTTCTATCAAGTTCTAAATCGCATTTTCTTTTGCAAATGGGGCACGATTGTTAGCATCCTATCTATTTAACTTGTAAAGCATCTAAATGAGATTAAACATCTAATTTTTCAAAATCAATTTTTAATTAATCCAATTACTTCATTTCCTCTTAGATTTTCTTATTAAAAGATTACATAAAATAATATAAGATCTATATTTCTTCATCAAATTTGTTTTATAAATTATTCTTTAAAGTAAATGGAAATTTATAACATCCTTGGATCTAAAATCCTTGTATCATATCAGGTTTAATTAAATTGATTATATTTTAATCTAGTGCTCCTTACATGCAACCAAAAACAGCTGTATACAATAAGCTGGGAGCTTCATCTAGATTTTTTAGTTTAACAAAATAATCTTTGGCAGACAAATTTTTGTTAAAATCATTCAATTTTTATGTGTTTTGAACAATCCTTTTTAAAAATTATTTCATATCATCTTTTAATTTCTTGGTCAATTGTGACTATATTTCAGTTTTAATTATATCAAGATTGTCTTTTACATATGTCTCAATATAATCAGCATGATTTCTAATATATTTTAACAACTAACTATTTGTTATTTTGCTGTTCTACCTTTCAAGGATTTCTTTATCAAGTCTTTTTATAAGATCAAAACTTGTTTCCTTATCATAATTAGCAATTAACCCTTTCACTTCTGTTTCATAGCTTTAATATAACCTCTAATATTATAATTTTATTATTTCAGTCGCTTATTGTTTACCTCGAATTTCGCTTTACTCTTATCTATTTTAAAGAAGGTCGGCTTTAAATTTAATAAATAGATCTTTTTCTAGTTCTTATTATTCATTTTCATCATTTTTCTTTTTTTACTCCCAATATTTAAAGCATACTATTCTCCAAATCATAAACATAGCATAATTATAAATGCTTCTTTCTCCTATTTCATTTAATAAAACACCGAATAGTGAAAATTATTTATTAAAATCCTTAATTTAAATTTCAAGTCTTTGTTACAATCTTTTTATCAAACCTGCAAAATTCTCTTAAGATGCTGTAACAGTATTCTTAACTAACATATCATCATATACCATTTAGAAAATCTGCTCATACAACATATTCCAACCTTTTTGTTACTCATCATTCATTAACTTTGAAATTAATGATACAATATTAGAATTAAATTTGTTTTCTAAATTTTGTTGTTAATTCATAATGTATGTGAAAATATCAATTTCTAGTTGGCTAAAATTTTTTATTTTTTTTTAAATTTCTGGTTTTGTCTCAATTAAGTAGTTTTCTTGTATTTTTTGTTTATCTATTTCAGAATTATTATTAATTTGAATTACTTCAAATTGACTCAGAACTTTATTTAATTATTAACAATTCTTTTGAATTTTATTTATAGAGTCTTCATTCAAAATATTTAAGGTATCTTATTTTTGAATTGGTTTAAAACATTACAAAAGAGATTGCTATTTTTATTAACCTTGAATTCCATTCTAAATTGCCTAACAAAGTTAATCAACATTCTAACCTATAATCTCAAAATCAAATACGGTAAATTTTTCTAAGAAGGTTTATATTTGATATTTATCATTACTTTTAATTTCACTTTCAAAATCTGTTAGCATGTTGCCATTTTTCATGTAACTATCAATATCTTATTTTTTGATGCATTTAATTACTTTTATATAAAATTGATTTAACTGCAAAATGGGTTTATCAGCACTACTGGCGAGTTTGTTTTAAATATTTTGAGTGAAAATTTCTAAATATTATTTTTTATCTTGTTTTTCAAGCAATTTAAATTATGGTTATTATAATTCTGACTAGAGTATATTATATTACTCAACATGATCTTATTATTTTGGTTGATTTTTAATTAACTTTTCAAGGAATGCTTATTTATAATTTTCTTATGAAGTAGATTATAGTGAGGATCCTTTAATTTAAGATTGTATAATATTGAAAAATTCATTGCAGCGATCTTTTAATAAAGCTTCATCTTATTTTTCTTTTTTCAATTTGGCTTCATTTTAAACTTAATTATATACAGCTTTCAACTTATCGGGATTTTCCTTTAATTCTTTTATCATATCAGGATTTTATTGCACTTCTTTTATTTTGACTTAATATAATTTTTGTTCTTAAGTTTTTGATAGGTTTGCTTAAATATTTTTTGTTTCTGAAGAAATAGCAAGACTGCAAGCTTACAATTCAACATGTTTTTACTCTTAAATTTTCACTTCGTATTTTTAGATAATTTCTTCCTTTATATTATTTTCTCGTTAAAGGACTGCTATTTATTACTTTAATTCTTTCTCCTTTTAATCAAATATCTAACCAAGATATTCAATTTATTCTGTTTTGATTAATTCTACTTTTTCAGTGGTTATTTCTTAGTTATTTTCTTAAATTTATTATTAAATATTTGCTATGAATTCTGATTTTTCTGGAAACACTTAGCCACTCACTATTGAGTTGAATTTATCCCTCATCAGTGATTCTTACTAAATTTCCCTTATTTATTGAAATTAGTCCAAATGTTATAATTTAGAATTGATAATATTGATGGTCTCTTACTTTTTCTCATTAATATCTTCAGTTATCATTTTTTGATACTTAGATAATATTTTATTTGATATATTATTATCATCTTAAATGGACTTTAATTTTTCATTTACTTCTAATTAAATTTAATCATAGTATTTTATGTTTTCAAATTATTCATTGTAAATAGTATTTACTATTTCTATTGAGAGAATATGCTTATTTTAATTCAGACTTAAATCTATACTTTCTTTAATTTAATCATTGCATGGAAATTTAATATTAGATAAAATTTCCTTATATTATGGCAACATAAAATCATTTTGTTGAAATTACTTTAATTTTTTAAATTCTGATAATTCGTCCATTTTATTTATTTATTCACTAATTTGCTCTATATTTTATATAAGCTATCCTCTTGATTAACTTTAATTCTATCTCTTTTTTATAAAGGCTTAAATATTTTAAATCCCATAACTACATGCGTCATTAAAGAAATCATCATTCTGTATTAATTGTCTCCAATTATATTTCATATCCAAATTCTTATTTTATTTCCAAAAATATTCAATTTTCATATACCCCTACAATGTTTTGTATTAATCAACATCAAAAATTTCCTCATAATATTGAGCTTTCTCCTCATTAACTTAATAAATAAATTCTTATTTCAAATCCTATTCAATAATCTACAAATGATTTAAAATTATATCATTATTCTTTTCTAAATTGTTATTATTTTAATGGAAACACCATGTTATCTACTTAGGAGTATTTACTAATTTAGCCATATTATAAATGCTGGTCTCGACTAATTACTTGAACTCTGTTTTTATATCTCCCTCAGTATTTATAATAATAATGTCACTTATAGACAAGATGAATAGGATAATTTTTTTCGTCGATTCTTCATAATCTTAATTGTGATTTTCTAATATTTCAGTATCTAAAACGATAACTTATTTAAATAAATCTCCAAAAATGCTTTTATTGTATATATTCAATAATTAAAAATAATATCCTTCAGTATTAACATTGGAGTACCTCTATACTGGTGATCCAAAAATTTTATTTAAAATATTTGAGTTCCCAGAACCGGATCCTAAAATACTTATGAATATGGTTTCTCCTTAATCTTTTAAGTTTTTTAGTATATTTTTGGAATAGACAAATTATGATTCAGAATCTATTAATTAAAAAGGTTCTCCTTTCAAAATTAATTCCTCAAGTTTTTAATACATTAAACTCTGAATTTAATGATCTGGATTCATTTGTTATATTTAGGAAATCTTATCCATTAATTTTCCAATTGTGATCCTCTTCTCTTGGGAATTACTTTAATTAAATTGCTATAAAATATCCTTAAATTTAAGATGTAGAATATAGAAATTTTATTACTATAATAAAAAACCAAAGGATTAAAGGAATGGGACTTCTGATTAATTAATTTCGCCTAAATTCTATTCAATTTAAGATAAGATTTGCCAAGTCGATCCAATTTCTTAAGTATATTATAAATTTTAATTCTTTATTTGAGAGATTACATTAAAAAATTGATTTGCATCAATCATATTATCGTTTTCATTTTTTTCTATTAAATCATATAAAAATTAGCTAACTTATTTCATTTCATTATTAAGTACATATTTATTTAAATTATTATCAGTCAAATTAACTACTTATTTGTATTCAATATTTAACTACTTTAATTTTATAATTTAAGCAGATTCTAATTAAGAAGAAGAATCTCTTATAAGAAAGCACACAGTTTTATTTTTTAATTAAAACGATTTAAGTTACTCCAAAATAGAAATTGTGGACTCAATTTCTTTTTCCGTATCCAATTAAACAATCCATAATTTAAACAAGGGCAATATTTCATCTAATATCTCAAGTGGGATAAAACTATGTACATCTGCTATTGATAAATTTCTTGTTCCTTGGAATTCTGAATCATACATTATATCAATGGAACAATTATTTAGTTTATTATTGTCTAATATTTCGAATTTATCTTATTAATAAAATATTTTATTAATTAATTAGGTTTTGCCTATTCTTTTTTGTATCTATTATAAGCTCAGGTTAATAATTGTAAAGCTCATTTGGTGGATATAAAATATATTTAAATTCAAAAAGAAGCTTTCTATTTTTTTTGATTTATCTTCATAAGGAATTTTATAAAGGAAAGGTATAGGATAGTTCTAACTTATTTGCTTTAAAAGGAGGCATTACAATTCAACATTTGAATTAATATATAATAGCTAAAACATTGATTTAAAATTAAAATATCCATACTTGATAGACTATTCTTACTAGGTTTATATAAGCTGGTTTATCATATTTAAAAAAATTGTTGGAGATTCCCCTCTTTTAATAATATTCAAGTAAAATGGTAAAAGATTTTTGAACTTCTTATTATTTTTAATGTCTAAGACCCAAGCATATACTAATTGATATTAGTCTTGTTGATTTAATTCAACTAAGGTTATATTAAATTCTTCTACACTGATTTAAAGACTTCTGGGGTAAATGTCGTATTATTTCTTTTTTTCCATATATTCCAAATTATCAGCCGTCAAAATCTAACTATCAAAATAGTTCAATTTTGAAAATGTTTTCTTATATAATTGAGGATCATTTAAAAAAAAGGATTTTGCCTCTTATTCGAGGTTATTGTTTTTTTTAAAAGTCCAATAGTAAATTAATGTATAGATCTAATCTAAGACACTCTTACTTATTTTATTTTATGACTATTCTATTAAAAAATTAAGATGATAAGAAGTAAACTATTTGAATCCTTATTCAAGACTATTTTTAAATTGTTGTTATTCAGTATCATTTGAAAGCGAGCAAAATACCTAAAATAAGATTTCCACGGATAAAAGATATGGTTATAACGATAAGTTCTATTTTTGATTTTCCAAAAATAAACTGCTTACTTATTCATCCTTTAGGCTTTATAATAAATGATAAAAGAATTAAGCATTTTGAATTTACTATTAAAGCATTTTATTTTAATTAAATTGATCTCTTAAAATTTGGATAACTTCTTTTGGATTTCCTGATTGGTTTGACATTGTATGTTAAATTAGAGAATTGAGAATTATGCAATAATATTTAAGAAATTTCTTTTACATAATTTCCCAAAATTCCCTATCGAAAGTTTTCACTATTTAAACCATTTCTTATATTTTCATCTTCTCTTTTATATTTTAGATCTTTTTTAAATTTGGAATATGTTTCTTTTTAAAATTTTTACCCAAAGCCAATCTATATATCCAAAATTCTTCAAAGTTTTTGTTTAACATTTCACATATAATTCTGAAAATGACTTCTACTTATTCTTAATCATATTGGTATTTTAGTTCATAGATGTCATCAAGAATTTCAAAAATATCTTATGAATCCTAAATTACTTTTTTAATAATTGTTGCTATTTTTCTCTTATCTTCATCAATTATTTCTGTAAGAAGATTCAAAATTTTGGCAAAACGTTTATTTTATTATTTGATATCCACAATGTGCTATTATTTGTTGAAATAGTAAAAGTTTGTGTCAATAAAATATTATAAGAGCTCCTCATTGGATTTAAAAATTATGCCTTTTCCAGAAATTTTGCTCATGCTCTATTGAACTTGATAATTAACAAAGAATTTTTCTAATTAGTTATCATTAAATAAACTATCTTAATATGTTTGTTTCTGTGATTTTTATTAGGTCTTTTCTTCAATATAGGAATTCAAAAGTCTATTCCTTTCATTTTCACAAAATCTCACATTATTTTTATACTTCTAATAAAAAACGGACATGAAATAAAAGCAAATTTGATAATAGATTCTTTGCACTTCGAATATAATAGGCATTTCTTTTGAAATGTAAAATTCAAAATCTCCTTATTATGAAATCATCGTCTAAGCGTTCAAAACCTTTCGTATTTCATCTTCAATGATCTCTCTTTACTTTTAAGGAGTTTGAGTTAACATATATGGTATAGCTTTTAAAAGATCCAATTAACTTTTATTTTCATTATTCTAAATTAGTTAATTTTGATGATATTCAAATTAGACCCAGCTTTAGTTTATTATTTCTCCTATCAATTACTCTATTTCTTAAGATTCATCCTATGTCAAATTTAAATCATTAGGCATATAGAAGTAGAGTAATAATTTTTTTAATATTGATAGGTTTAATTAAAATTAACAGTCTTCAAAGTAATCTGCTAAATCTAATAGTATAAAGGCTTTGTCTTTGAGCTTCTCAACAAGAGGTTTTAGTTTAATAAAATTATTTGGATATTTGCCATCCATATAAAAATAATTTTATGAAAGCATTTACTATAATTACACCCAATCTTAAGCCCTTGCTACATTATCCAATTCTTCATAAAAAGAGAAATCATGATTCCGAATATTTTTTGATTAGGGTGTAATTGAATTTATTCTTGATTAAGATCTATCAGATTTTAATGGACTATCACATGTACTTGAGTAGACCTATGGCTAACCCACAGGATTTTAAAGTTTCAATTCTGGAAAAAGTTGGTCTAATTTGCCGATTGTTTACTTCCTTTCATCTTCTTTTAATTTATCCAGCATATTATCTATAAGCTTAGAAAAACAGTTTTCATTGCTAAAATAGTTTTCTTGCTTATCCTTAATTAAATAGTTAAGCTCTTTAGTAAGTTTATAATCTGAGAGAGCGATTACTTCCTACATCTTGGAATGAAATAATATCTAGATTTAAATAAATTTTAAAAAAGTTTATATGTAATTCTATTAAATACCAAAGAGTAGACCTAAATTTTTATCATTTCTTTTTAACGTTCATAATAATAAAAACTGAAATATACCATCCTTTTTTATGGACAACCATTTTTTAGGTAACTCATTCCATCTAATTTTAAAGATAAGCATCCCTAATTTTTTAATATACTTATTTTCAACGAATCAATTTTATAATCAAGTGTAAATATTGTCAATATCAATCATTATGCATAGATAATGACACCTAATTAAACTGACATATATCTAATGAAAGCAAGGTTTCAGAAATTTTTAAAACAAAATATTTTTACAAACTATTTTACCTTTAATTATGATAAGAGAATTATTGAATTGGGAATATAGTTTAATGCAATATCATGATTACATAATTTCACATAAAACTGATATAGGAATTTAAGTGTATTGTAAATTAAATATTTGTCTCATATTAAAATGGCGGAATTTTACATTTATTTAATCCAAGTTAAATATTATGCTTTTTATTCTAGTTGCTTGATATTAGGGTGAATAATAACCAAAAATTAATCATTTAATTATTACTTGCCATTCTGACTCAGATTAAAATATATGAGGTTGCCTTCAAGTAAATTTATGAATCTAATTAGATGCTAACTATAATTATTTGATTATGTAGAATAATCCTTACAATTTCTTTGCTTTTCTCAATATTGAAGTAGTAAATATCAACTCTTTCAGATTCCCTAATCACTTAGTTAATAAATTTTCAAGTTAGTATTAATATTTGCATTGTATGAAATTGCGCTATCACTCACATCAAAATCTCATGATTGATTAATATTATCGATAAGTGATAATAAACCATTTACTAGATTGATGTATAAATATATTTGATGAGTATTCTAAATATTCTCTAAATTTGCAATTGTTTCTTATAATTTCTGTATTACTATTTTAGATTCTAATAACATCAAAAAGCTCTTTAATTCACAGCAGGTTTACGATCATATATCAATATCATCCTATGTTTATACAAAAATAAAGAAGAAAGTGATAAATAGCATATTTATAAAAATATTATTGATAAATATTAAAAACAATCCTCCAAATCATAACATTGTTATAATAATCATCCCAATAAATGATAGGATAGGTGTGTAATCATCTGGAAATGTACACTATTAACATTTAGATGAATCCCATGTACTAAGTCCATAAGATAAAGCATAGCACTCTTCTTTGCTAAGCAGATCAGGATTTAAATCTTTGCAAGTGTCAAGGAGCATACAGTATTTCCAGGTCTTAGAATTTGGGGATGTTAAATAATGAGTACATTAATGTTCATTTAATAATTTGCACTCAATTTACTTACATTCTCCATCCCAAACACATGCTCCACTATATTCACAATATGTTGCCTATTTTTATTGGGAACATTGAGTCCAAACCTAACAAGAATTAAGTTTTTCATCCCAATAACATTATTCGCCTTTTGAATCTTTGCTGCCATTACATTTATCATCGATTTTATGTGTTTTGCATTCTTGATATTTGGAAGTGCAAGTTTCTAAAGTGTCTGATAATAAACACTTCTTATTTATCGATTAACATTCTAAATTTGAGAATGCTTTATAATTTTCACATTACGTGAATTCTACACAAGCATTAGCAAACCAAGCACAATGTTCCAATTAAATACAAGCTTAAGGAGGGTCAATTTCAGTACATTTCCTTTCTTCACATGTACCATCCCTCCATATGCATGTTTAATTCTGTTAGCAATCGTTCTATGAGGAAATTGATTTGCATAGACAATGTTTTGGAGAAGGTTTCTATACATTGGGTGATAAACATTATTCACAAAATCCTTCGCTTGCATTTGAACTAGACCAATGATAAGCTAGTAAGGTGTTACTGGCACATGTATCAAATGTCAGAATATCTGGGATTGATGATTCGCATTGTTTTAAGACATAATTCCATTCACACACTTCATATAAATGACTATTAGGTCCTTCTTATACTGCTACACAATCATATTCGTGATCTATTTCTGAGCATTTTTTCTGCAAACAAATCTTTAAGGTGGCTGACCAATCGCAACTTTGGGGAAGCATATCGCATTAAACCTTTGATTTAGCTTAGGAGCATTAACTCCATAAACTGCATTTTGAATCTAACCATAAACAAAATCCATCCTAACCTTGAATGCACTCACCTTCGTTTGTGAATTGAGCACACAGCCTTTCTTAAGCATTAGGTAAACAATGCTCACCATTACTCTCTCTACAGTTTGTTGACATAAATCTACACTCATTTATAGTTTTGCCCTTCAAATCTTCACACTTTGTAAAATTCTCACATTTTCCATCCCTATATTAACAACCTTCATCAGCAGAACATATGGATTAACTTTTTATGCTTGAACATTCTTCTTATTCACAAGTTTTTGTATTACTATTCCATATGCAATCCTAATCATTAGCGCACTCAAGAGCTAATTTCCATTGCTTACAAACACATCTTGCATCTGTTCTAATTATTACATTGCAATTTATGCTGTATACTAACAGTGATATCAACAATACTCGATACGTCATGAAACAAAATAATTAATCTTAATTAAATATTTATTATATCAAACAATTATTTAATATTATTTAAATTGCATTTTTTAAGGATCATCCTACAATTGCTTTGTCTACTTTATAATAAATAAAAATATTTTGATTGATTTTATTTGTTTTGATTGGCTACTTGATAAAAGCAACAATCAAATAATAAATGAATATAATATCATGGAAATTGATTGAATTTAGAGATAATTTAGAATGAAGTGTATCCTGAAGTTTCTAAAAATGAGAATACACAATCCGCTTATATAAAATTAAAGATTTATAATAATAAATGATTAGAAATTAGCAGAGACATAATAAAATATTTATTCTTTCTTTGAGGAAATTATATTATAATACCTAAAAATAAATTTATATAATAGATCTTAGTAATCACTATAAAATCTTTATTCTTTTATGATATTTGGTACAAATTATGAGTCCAAAAATACTGCATATAACTTATCAGTTCAATTTACTAAATGAGGAATAGCATATATCCAATAATTAGGTTATTAATTAAAAATAGTTTTGAATATTATTAAGCTACATATTTTCAATAGAATCCTAAAATTCAGATTATTATTAATAATTATTAGACATACATTTGGAATTTGGAGCTTTATTTTTGTGAAACAAAGTTTCCATCATTTAGTGTAAAGCATGAGATCATATTTTGATAACAACTGGAATTAAAAAGTAAATTAACAATATTTACCAAGGTTATTTTGGATTCTTTTATTTATCCACTGGTATAATAAGTATATTTTTAATCCAATTTAATTTATTGCCAACGTTCTTGTGCTATATAACCTCCTCATTCAAAGAATTCATTTAGAAGAGCTGTGTCTATATTAATTATTTGGGCTTGTTTATTAGGAATAAAGTGTAAACACATCAATTTTAATACTATTTATAGAGTATTTTAAGAGTTTGAAAGATAGATAAATCAAATTTAGATTGCTCTAACATTAAATAATTCAAAATCCCCATTTAATTCTATTAATATGGAACTACCTTTCATTAAAACCAGCTTCTTTCTAATAAGAATTTTAAGATCCTGTTTATTATTAGATTGCGCCTTGTCTTGGTGTTGGTACTTATTTTGGCAATTCTCTATGTTAATCGTTAACTTCTTCGATTTCGATTTATCTCCACAGTCTTTAGATTTCAGTGTCTATCTCAAGCATTAATCTTTTGTTATTGGATCTCTCAGCATAGACTGCGTCTTCAATAAATTCTGACAATTAATCCAATTTCTCTGTTGGTTTAGAACTTTGTTTAATGTCTGAGATTTGTCTATGATATTTTTCTTCTATTTTCTTTCTTATTAATAGTTATTCTTAAACATCCTTATCCAAATCGAAAAAGATCCTCTTGGCTTGCAGATTAAAATTGGTTTTGAGATAGTGTTTTTCAATGCTGATTTAACAATTTGGGACCGTGCATTTCATCTAATTAGAATGTTACATACTTCTTGGAATCTGCACAAGGGACATAATTTGAGATTGCATTCAATTTAGGACACATAAAACTCTTAACCAAATTTTGATTCGTATTTGACAGGACAATTTGAGCCCATGCAATAGAGATCATATTTGGGTGGCCAATAAGCATTATAAGTTTTCTCAACTTCAATTTACATTTATATAAATAATGAATAATCATAGTACTTAATTTGAGATTTTACCAAAACTGATTACTAATCAACACAAGTTGCTAGATCCGATGTATATAAGGAATACTCAACAGCGAAATTCTTAGTATCTAAATACATATTATAGTTGCAGAAACGAATCCAAAATCTTGCCTCACATACAAAGGAGATCCATGATGTAGGGTAACTCAAAGCAAATGGTAGTTTAAAGTATAAACTGAAATATAATTCAAAGGGTTTATGTACAGCTTCGATTACAACACAAGACACTTTGGAACAACTTGTGATAGGGGTTTTTAGGGATTATCCAGTTATCATCTGTCATAAAAATTTGGACATCTAGGCACAAGATTGTAGCCATTGGAGAAGAACATTGTGGCTGATATGACTGATGGAGAGGATGTGGAAGAAATCAAAAAAGATGAGAGATTGTTTTATAAGAAAATATACAAATATAATTAAATGCCTGTTTTGGCATTGATAAAATCTTTTGAAGTAGAATGGATTAAAGAGAAAGATGACTAAGTCAATAGGAAAGTATCAAAGAGTCTCATTCTAAGCTTTCAAACTACACTTTAAATATTAAATACTCATTAAGATTTCATAGACTTTTTTATGAAAAATTTATAACTGTTAGAATTGAATACGGTAGCCTTAAAGCAGAAAGGATTGCATTAATTGAAAGCAAAAGTAGACAAATTTTCAAGTCAAGAATTTCCATCACCTTATCTCATAATATCAAATCAAACTGGCCAAGGATTTTTTAAGATTCACTTTCCAATTATTGAAATTTATTTTTAAGAGTACTAATATGTCGAAACTATTAAATTATCCCCTATGAAATTATATGAGTTGGTTAATAATAACTTTTTCTAAGTTAGTGAAATAATTCAAGAGATAAATGTTGACTTTTCAGTCCTCAAATAAAAGTTAATGTAATAAACAGAGAGTAAAAGTAAAGTACAGGAATAAATTGAAGAGAAAGTAAAGCCTGAAGTTTAAATCTCTGATTAACCTTAAGCACAACCTAATATAGAATCTTAATAAAAAGTGGTGACCACCAAACCAAACAACTCCGATTTTGGATTAATTATTAGTGAAAGTAAGATTAGATTTAATTTTAGAAAAGTGTGAATTCCCTGATAAGCTTTTGAATAAAAGAATGATTAAATGTGTTGTTTAGAAGGATGAGAAGAGTTTCTTTTGTGTCGATTTTCTACCACTCTAATTTATCATCAAGGAAAAGGTTTCTTAGAAAACTGTTAAATTGTATTCTCCAACCTTCCAAGAATTTAATGAATTTCTAACTTAATTAGGATAAAAGCAGATGAAATAAGTAATAGACGAGTGTTTGATTACTTAATTTGATCTTTAGCCAGAAGACTTTGATTATAAGGAGTTCAAGAAGGGAACTAAGATCAGTCTAAGTTTTCCAACAGCGTCGGAATTAAACTTGGAAATAACTGAGGAACATCTTAATAATGGATTGTTATCCGGGTTTGTAAAAGAGATCGAGATAAATAACAAGGATTTACAGATTATCATAGAGTAATGAAATTGTAGCATAATTTAGACCTTGCATTTTTGGGATCTATAACCAATTAACATGTGTGACTGAGAAGAGAAACTGTACATCGAAAGAATTAACTAGTATTTTGCAGAAAAAATATTAAGTAAAATTTTAACTTGTTTGAAAATGGAATTATTTATATAATATAAGGTTTTTTTAAATTATGAACTTATTTCGAATGAAGATCTAAAATTTTCGAATTTGAGGTGTGTAGATGTATCAGTGTCCAATAAAACTGATTAAGGTTGTATGTGTGTATGCTAAAATGGGAAAACTTTTATGTTGGGAATAACACAAAGTTATTCAAATTTTAGCTCCAAAAGTTAATTTAAAAATATTAAATATATTTACATAAAATGCAGACTGAAAGTGAAGAGCCATCATAGTTGATCATTAACAGAATAATATTGGATAATTTTAAAAGTTATTATGGACATTTAGAGATCGGTCCATTTCATCATTAATTCACGAGCATTGTAGGGCCAAATGGATCAGGAAAGTCAAACCTTATTGAATCATTGCTCTTTGTCTTTGGTAAAAAGGCTTCATGGATGCGTCTGTAGAAAATTCATTAATTGATACATAATTCGGCTGAGCATCGAGATGTGAAGAAAGCCTCTGTTGAAGTTTAATTTATCGAATAAAGCGGGAATAATAGAAACTATTTCAGTGTAAAGCGTACAGTTCACCATACTGGACAATCGAATTACGATATAAATAATAAACACGCTACTTTAGAAGAAGTCACCACTTTATTAAAATCAAAGGGAATAGATCTTACGAACAATAGATTTCTGATTTTATAGGGAGAGGTTGAATAAATTTCATTGATGAAACCAAAATCAGGTGATCCAGAGAAGCCAGGATTGCTTGAATATTTGGAAGACATCATAGGAAGTAATCAATACTAGGAATAGATCGACAAGATGACTGAGGAATATTTGTAATTGGATGTGTAGAGAAGAGAGAAGGGTGAAATGATGAGAGTGGTTGAGATGGATCTTGAAAAATTGGAACCAGGGAAAGACAAGGCTGTAGAATTAGTGAGAAATGAAATAAAGAATTCCTAATTGTAAAATGTATAATAATAAATTGCCAATTACAAAGTGTAAACTTAAATTACTAAATGCAAAGAGAATCTCACTCAGATTGACGAGAATCTAAAAATTACAGCCTTAGAATCTAAGGAGAAAATGAAAGATCATTCTGATACAGTGAAACTAATGAAAACAGCATCTGATAAATTTCAAAAGGCCAAATAAAAGAGACAATCAATCAAAGTTTAAATTGAAGAATTGTAAGCTAAAGACACTCAGAATAGAGATGAAGTAAACAATCTGACTTCATAGCAAAACAGGTTTTAAAAGAAGTTAGATGAACTCATTTAGGAGAGGAATAAATGCATTGATGAAGTTGAAGATTTGAAAAAAGAGATACCAGCATATGAAAAGTCTATTAAGACTTTGAGATAAGAAAAGGAGGAGTTGGAAGAGGTTGTTTAGAAAATGAATTAACAACATTAATAGGAAGTAAGAAAATTAGTGGAGAAGAAATCAAGTTTGTAGAGCATAATATCTGAACCTCAATTGTAGAGAAATCAATATGCTAAAGATCAAGAAATCACTAAAAACAAATTGAATTAATTAAAATTACCTGACACTGATGGAGGTAAGGGAATTCAAAATAGCATAAGTGAATGCAACAATAATATTGGGTAACTTTAGGAGATAGTTAAAACTCTAAATTAAACAATTGATGAGATAAAGAACAGAGAGAAATTGCAAGTTGAGAAATAGAATCAATTGAAAAAAGAATTAAAATAGAATGAAGACTAATTATAAGAGGTTCAATAGTAGATAGATGGATTCTCAATTCAATAGAATTAATACAATGAACAGAATGCAACTATTAGAGCAATTATGGCAGCTGCATAACAAGGTCAATTAAAAGGAGTGATTGGTAGGATTGGAGATTTAGCATACATTGATCCCAAATATGACATTGCCATCTCTACAGCCTGTGGAAAAGGATTTGACTCAATTTTGGTGGAGAATTAGTAATCTGCTGAAGCATGTGTGAATTTCTTAAAATCAAATAGGATTGGAAGATATACTTTTGTGTCTTTGGATGTTGTAAATAAAATGATAACTCAAGACATGATGTAAAAGAGAGGACAGAATCCTAATCACACTGAAAGACTATTTGATTTGATTCAAGTTAAGAAATAGGAGTATTAGGGTGTCATCTTTAAAATTGTGGGTTAAACTCTAGTGTGTGATAACATAGACTTAGCAAGAAAGTTGAAGTTCGAATAGAAGAATCCAAACAGATTTGTGACTCTAGATGGAAAGTTAATTGAAGCCAATGGTGTGATGAGTGGTGGTGGACAATAAAGGAGAGGAGCTTTGAGTGGCAATAATTCAAAGTAAGATCTGAATGCAAATAAAAACAATTAGAATTAATTGGAAGCTATGCTAAAATAATATTAATAAAATAGATAATAAATTGAATAGTAATTAATTAAGGTTGATCATGAATTGCAAACTTTAATTAAGGATGGTAAAATCATTTAAGAGAAGTTAATATCTGCAACTTAGGACTTGAAGAATTAGTAGGATTTGAAATTGGATTTGTAATAGAAGTTGGAGAAAGTCAAGAATTTGGAATAGGAAAAGGCTGACATTGAAAAGCAAAGAAAGGAATACGAGAAGTAAATTCTAAGTCATTAAGCCAATATCGATAGTATTGATAAAAAGATATCTAAGGAAAAGAAATAATTGGAATAGATTGAATAGGAGATTACTGAATCTGAAAATAAGGAATTAAAGTAAAACAAGGAGAAATTGCAATAATTAACAACCAAATTTGATAAGGATGATGCAGAATTCAAAAAGATGTAAACACGATTAGTTGTTCTTGATAAAAAATAAAAGACGTTGGATAAGGATGAAGTTAAGATTAAGGATGACTTACAAAAAATACAATCGAAAATTGAATAAATGAACTAAGAATTTAAAAAAGCTGAAGTCTAAATGATCGATACTATTGCCTTATATAAAATTGCAAAGGAGGCTGAAGAAAATGCAGAAAAAGAATATAAGGAGACTCAAGCTAAGGATAAAGAATTTGATGAATTGATTTCCAGGTTGAAAGAGAAGACTAATAAATTAAAATAGGAAAAGGAGGAATGTTAGTCACTATTAAAGAAAGCCTAAGAAGAATTTAGTGAAGGATTAACAAAATTAGAATAAATTAGATTGAACTATAAAGAAATGTAAAATGATTATGAATTCTTGAATGAACTAGAAGAGATTGCTAATTGGAAACTATAGGATTAATAACATTAATAGTAATTCCCTTTGACCACTGCAAATTAGAATTAATCTATGTTAAATATCAGCGTATTATTTATTTCTATTGTAGTTTATTGACTAAGGCGATGAATCATTTGACGATGGTCGAAAGAGAGGAGCAACGTTGGCTATCGACTTAAAGGCAATTCTAGAAATAGCAGTAACATAAGAACTTACAGAAGAATAAACCATTTAATTCTGCCCAATTGAGAAAGAAATTGGAAGAGTTCATGCACATATCCAAGCTTAAATTAGAGAGATCACTAAAGATGCTAACATCAAAGATATCCAAGAATTTAAGATCAAGTATTTGGAATACAAGGCTAAAAAGAGTGACTTCGATTAGACTAAACAACAACTACAATAATAGAAATAAAAGATTGATCAATTAAAAAAAGAGAGATATGATCTATTTATGCATGGATTCAATGTCATTGGATCAAAATTGAGAGAGACATATCAAACATTGACAAATGGAGGAGATGCCGAATTAGAACTAGTAGACACAATGGATCCTTTTAGTGAAGGAATTAGTTTCAGTGTCAGACCTAAGAATAAGTCTTGGAAACAAATGTCTAAGTTATCTGGAGGAGAAAAGACACTCTCTTCATTATCATTAATATTTGCATTGCATTATTATAAACCTACTCCTTTGTACTTCTTCGATGAAGTGGATGCAGCATTGGATTATAAGAATGTCTCAATCGTTGCAAACTTCATCAAAGAGAGAACAAAAAATGCTTAATTTATTGTGATCAGTTTGCGTAACAATATGTTTGAATTAGCTAATAAATTGGTATATATTTTATATTAATTCTAAAGATTGGTATCTATAAGACATTTGACACAACTAAAACGGTTTAGATTTAGCCAGAATTAGTGCAGATGAAAATAAATTCTTCTGCTGAAAACAATGAAAACGTTAATTAAAATAGATGAATGCTTTTTAGAATATTCATATTCCATTATTGTTTTCTATAAATTTATCCAATTCTCCTAAACCTTTTAATTTATTTATTAAGAATTTTACTGTTTTATATTTTTATTTTGACTAGTGGGTAATAATCAGTTTAAAATTGTAATTCTTGATTTTTTTGTTCAAGTGAAATACTCTTTTTATTATATTTCTTTAATCTTATTAATTTGATCCTTTACTAAAATTATTTCAAGTTATCAAAATTGTTCTTTTCCTATAAATATACCATTCATAATAATATATTTTTAATATATATCTATTTGAGCAATAGATAATCAATGAATTTATTGGTTAATTAGCCTATTGTAATTCTATTAATAATTACTCAAGATAAACAAGAGAGATGAAAAGATGAGGAAATTTAAAATTAATTATTGATGCTGATTTCTACTGAGTAATATAATTAATTGATATGCTATATAAAAAACTGATTATAAAATGATGACTCATTATAATAATTAATCAGCCTAAATTATTTTAAAAATGTCTAGAGAAGTATATATGTTTTATAAAGCTAAAGTAACTTTTGAAAAGGTTCGATTTCGTATCAAAGTCCTTAGAATAATTTGATTTATATGAATAAAACGAATTTGCCATTCCCAACTCTCAACAGTAAGTTTCAATTCAAATACATAGATATTCTGAGGAATGCTACGAAGCATTTTAGAAGATCTATTAGAAAAACGAAGTGAATGAACTTCAGGTCATCCCAGAAGACGAGAAGGAGTTTTACATCCTAAATCGAGACACAGGAATGATGATTGATTGCAGGAAGTTAGACCAATACACGATTCCAAAAACAGATAGGAAGGAAGTGGCTTGGAAGAATTACTGGAAGCTTAGCAGAGAAATTAGTGAATCTTTATTATCATTAGTCTAATTGAATGAGATTACTAAAATATATGAACTACTAGCTCATCCTTAATTCTATATTGACATCAATGTTAGGTATTGGTTGTGTTAATTTGATAGAGATTTAGATGATTGGACTCCCCTTCATTTTGCATGCCAATAAAATAACACTGAGATTGTTCATCTCTTATTATTGCAATAAGCAAATCCGAAGCTATTCTCTTTAGATAGGAAAACGCCTTTGCATATTGCAGCTATGAAGAACAACTCGAGAATCTGCGAAATGTTAATTAACTACGGGGCTGATATTGAGGCTTAGGATTCAGATTAAAATACCCCATTGCACATTGCTTCATTGCATGGAAACGATGAGGTTTGTGCAATATTAATAGAGAAGAAAGCAGATCACAATTTGAAGAATTACTAACATTTGACTCCTGTAGAAATGGCATCGGATATCAAAATCATTGAAGTTTTTAATAAATATGGAATCTCGCTTAATAATTTTACTTATACTCGGACAGTTGTTAAGGAATAAAACTTAGTTTTGCCTAACAGTAGAAGAGATCATGTCTAAAAAATATTAAAGTTGACATAATAATAGGCTAAAGGGAGTGGCATTGAACAGGACATAAAAAAGGAGTTAATCAATAATGAATAATAATAAAGGCAATCACTCACCAATCTTGACTTAAATTAAAATAGATCTACTTGGGGTAAGATAATGGATTTTGCCATATCATTTTCTCGAATCTCAATTAAAGGCAATACTCAAACTACAAATTCAGAATCTCAAAACAATAAGATTGGTCCAGAATCTTTTCAATTTTATTAGAAATTGGGAGAAGGAGGGTTTGGTTAAGTTTATCTCGTTGACAAAATAGGTTAAGAACCTAAAAAGTATTATGCAATGAAGATCTTGAAGAAGGAAGATATAGACACTTCAAATATTATTAAGTCAGCTTAAATTGAAAAGGATGTCCTAAAGATTATGAATCACCCATTTATAGTGAAATTAAATTATGCATTCTAAACTTTAGATCATTTGTATCTTGTTATGGATTTATGTCCTGGAGGAGATTTGGCAACTCATTTAGAATTAGTTAACCATTTTCCAGAACACATAGTCAAAATATATGCAGCAGAGATTACGTTAGCCTTGGAAGCATTACATTAATAGGGAATAATTTTCAGAGATCTCAAACCTGAAAATGTTGTATTAGACAAAGATGGACATGCTCAATTAACTGATTTTGGATTGTCAAAACAAGGTATTGATGAAGAGATGCTAAATTAATCATTCTGTGGAACTTTGGCCTATTTGGCGCCTGAAATGTTAATGAAGAAGGGACATGGGCGTTAAGTGGATTGGTATATGTTGGGAATATTCATTTATGAATTATTGGTAGGTGCTCCTCCTTATTATGATGCAGAGAAGGAGATTCTAAAAGAGAACATTAAGAGGGCTCCTCTCAAAATACCAAGACATCTTAGTCAAGAGGCTAAGGATATAATTATTTAATTATTGATAAGAGATCCTAAAAGAAGATTAGGATGCAAAGAGGATGCTAAGGAAATTAAAAACCATCCCTGGTTTAGTGATATCAATTGGCAAGATTGTTATAATAAAAAATTATAACCACCTAAACCTCTTATATGTCATGAACCAAAGGCAGCTAGAAAAGTTACTTTTAGCAAAGAGAGTAAGAGGAATAAATTAAATGACTGGACTTTTTTTGAAAATTGAGTTAAATTGTATCCAACTTCCCTTATTATAAATATATAGAAAATTATTCATATTTTCATGAGTGTAATCACAATAATATTATAAATTGCCTAAATGGTGTTACTTATAAAAAATCACTTGTTATTCATTTTTATATTTATTATTATATACTAATAAATCAAATAATAAGAATATCAATTGTTTTAATTATGATTTAATGATAACATAATAAAAATAATGATTTTTAATACTAAAAAGTCCAGGTTTTGGAGGAATTGGTAACTACGTACACAAGTATGCATGGTCCAATTCATCATTACAATAATAGCGATCATATTGATTATTCTATCCACATTGTTGATTCTTTTTTATATCTCAGACACTTAAATGTTATCATCACAACAAGCCTTCTAAAATTAATTTGGGAAATGGACGAAAATCATCATGTATCATCAAATTCAAAGAGTTCAATAAACCTTATTTAGAAGTTAAAACCAAATATAAAGAGTAAATAAATTATATCAACTATCCCAGTAATTATAATAACCTAATATTTCAAAACCTTATCCATGTTTAAATGATTTAATTCACTAAGATAAGTATGCCTATAGCACATCATTTTGTTATTTAACATATGGTAATAATGAAAATGACGAGATGTACAAAAAACTTAAAGATCTTTGCAGCGTCTTAACTGAAACTGTCTAAATGATAGATGAAGACTTTGATATCATATTTGCATCAACAAATGATGTACATTTCTTTGCAGCTTGGCCAGGTTTTTATCTGGGCCAAGATTACAATCCTTAAAAAAGAATTTGGTACACTAACCATTTGGAATAAGTGTCCAAAAATAATAAAACTCAAACTTATTTTTGTGAGCCTCATATTCATTGGACATGGAAAGTACTGATGATTGCTTAGACAGCAAGTTTACTGGACATTGATGGATCATTGGATGGAGTTATAGCATCTCATGTCAATTTTAGTTAATTTAAATATTATGATGAGGGAATAAGTTTTACAATAATTAATCCCGATGGGAGAATTCTTCTCAGTTAATTAAACATCTCAGAAACTTCTTACATATATGATTATAAATTAACCCAATTAGATTATTAAGATTATTAATAAATAATAAATTAAGCCAATAAAAGATAAACCAAAAGTGATTGCGATTCAAAGAGATGGAAAGATTTTGGCTATTTGTGCCGGAAAGTACACAATTCTACTGAAGAGGAACTAATCGACACTAAAATAATGGATAATGAAGGCTTGGTTTTAATAATGTAAATTAATTTATGATTTAAATTTAGTTAGTGTAAATTATCATAATATTAGAAATTGCTTTAGTAGATGTTTGATAACTTTGAAAGTGGGATATCGTCCATATTTTTAGGAACAATACTTGGTTCTTTCGGATATATGTTATCCTCTGCTCTCATTACAAGCATCATCATAATCATACTCTTTAACCCAATTATAAAAATTATAAATTAAACATCTTAATATGTATTCAAGGAAACCTTTTACATGTAACATAAATTATAAAACAAACCCAAATTGCTATTGTTTAAAAGATCGAATTCAAATACATTAATAGAAAAACTATAGATTTCGTTTAATCAATTAATCAATAGATCTATTAATCCCAATAAATCACTACTTTGTTTATAGATAGAGTAATTCAAATATCCTGTTAAAAGATGGTAATAAAGGAGAAGAGTATAAAAAATATTGAAATTTCAATCTTTTTTGGAAAACAATCTATAAAATGATGATGAAATAACAGATAAATAAATTTCATTTGTCCAACAACTAATTAAAACTTATCAAAGTACACTAATGTGATTTTGATTATATATTTAAAATTATACTCAATGCATATAACCATCATGATCAATATAATAATGTGAGAAGAAGGCTCCAATAAAAATTGCTCCAAAAAGGACACCACTTAGCTAATGATTTGGCAAGAAGTGTCCTGTGTTAATGAAGCCCAATAACATTGCAAATAACATAGGGAAACTCCACCATCCGAACACAGGCCATATAGCGATTGTTAGACTAATAAGCATAAGCAACATCTATATACGTTATGAAGCTCATAAATCCAGCAAAGGCACCTAATTGTATAGCTTTTGGATTATAGGTTTCGATATCCTCAGTCACACCTTTTATGAAAGGCAAATAAAATGCAACATATAATGATAAACTTATGCTCATGCCAATAAATAATAATGCAAATGTGAGAAATAATCTAATTTGATTGTTGTTGATTACTCATTGATATTTTGATTGTGAAACAATTATTTAAAAAAGTTTGAATAATAAACTATTCCAGTGGCTGCTGAAATCCACATCACAGCTTAGGCTTTAACCCATAGCCACTCTCCCCATTACTCGATTTTATCATAGATATCTAACTGCTTGACAGCTTAAGGCTATCTAATAGAATCTTCATCTGCACTTTACACCGGTACATACCTTTTCATTTTATTTTTAAATAAAATAATCAACTTTTTGGTAATTTATATCTAATCACATACATAATGAAAAGAAAAGTCATGTTTGTTGTGCCTCCATAGTAACATTCATATGCAATAAATAGTGAGGAGACTAAAGAAGGATGTTAATGTCAAAAAACGAAATGTCTAAAATTATATTGCTAATGTTTTCATGAAGGCAAATGTTGTGGGGAATAATGTAGTTGTAGTGGTTGTAAAAATAGTTTAACCGATAATTTTGAAAGAAATAAGGCTATTGTTAAGATTATTCATAAGTATAAGGATGAATCTAAGTTAAAATTTTCAGGTGATAAGGGCTAAGGGTGTTGTTGCAAAAAAAGTAAATGCAAACTCAACTATTGCGAATGTTTTATCAAAGGAAGATCATGTGGGGATTAATGTCATTGCAAAAAATGTTAAAATGGAAAAAAACAGAATTAAAAAATATGCACAACTCATGAGGATTAGATATAAATATGCCAAAAACATCAAGCAATCTGAAATAAGTCATAAATATTTATTAATTTAAATCTCTTTGTTTTATCATCTTTGTGATATTCTATTCATGAGTTCGATTACAGTATCTTTTGAGATATATAACCAAAATATAATTATAAAATAATTGTCACCATAGGATCAATTTAAGGTTCATAATTTTTAACAATATACTTTTTTTTCAACGTCTATGAATATTGGTAAGAAATAAATTTTATGATTATTGATTTGATTAATACATTTTAAATTTGAATGAACTATAATAATACAACTCATAGAAGAACTTAATCTAATAATGATATCCAACAAATATTATGTGCTAGAATTGCTGGTTTAGTAGAAGACGAATATTAGCAATAGAAGCTTGATCCCAAAAGAATCAATCTAGGATCTACTCTGTTTCAAATTCCTGAATAGAACGATCTCATATCATCAGTTGAACAAACAACTGAATCCTCTAAACAACATACCTAAATGATCAAAGATTTAAATTTATCCAATCTGAAACCCAATCCATAATATGACAAAGAAAATTGTAAAAACCTCTCCTCTTGTTCTGCTCTCATTAATTAAATCCAATAAATAGTCAAGTCTGGATCCAATAATAAAGAATCTCTATCAAAAAAACCATTCACTTCAATTAATGAAGTCATAAACAAAAAATCTTCAACTCAAACTTAGATGAGTTTTACCTAAGAACTCTTGAAAAGATAAGGATCTAACCATCTACAATAGCAATAAGGATAACCACTTAAGTAAAATGTTACTCCTGACAGAAAAAGAGGTCCTTCTTACAGTAATAAACCCACAAATCAAAAATAGCAGAATGACTCTACACCAAATGAAATGTCAGGGAAAGATTATCTTAAAAGTAACTGCCCCATTTCTACCTTCAATAATCTTATTCGATAAGATTAAAAGAACTCTAATTTTGAAGTTTGTGATTCCTATAGAAATCTTGAACTCAAAATGAAAAAAATTGAACAAGAAATTAGCACCATTAAGTAAAGGCAGGATCATCTCGATGAAACAAATAGAAATATTCAAAATCAATTAAAAGAGTTCATAAATGATAACAAATAGTAATAAGAAGTAATTCTATCTCTATTTACAATTAGTATGATTCTCAACAATTAGAGAAAATAGAACAACTCGAATAAATCACAAAAAGAAATGAAGAATCAATATCCTGTCTCAAGAATCTTTTGATAAACAATAATGCAAATCATAAAAGAAGTGATTAAAACAATATCAATTTTGGGTAAAATAATTTTGATCATTTAGAAATAAATAATAATTAGATAGCAATGACTTACAGAAGAAAGTTGTCGACTTTAGAACTTTGAATCATAAAGTATTTTGATAGAAGCAAACAAACATAAATTTTTGATTATTTAAATTTACATTATAACACTCATTTTGGTTTAAAGTAACTTCCAAGTTCATTGTTAATATACTCTGAATATGCTCTTATCGTATTAATTAGATGAATATCCAATTAAGTGTGCTTCTTTCCTTTTTAATTTTTTTATTTTTCTTCGTGTTATTCACACCATTAGATCAACTTCTTGAAGATAGTAAAATTCTAATTAGAGATAAAACTTACTTCGTAGAGTGTTTATCCTAGAAGTTTGAGTTTTTACTGCTTGTCTTTTGGAAATTTAAGTTTCAAAAGTGCTATTATGATTGTTGTATTTCGTAATCTCTCTGAGATTGTTGTCAAAGTATTATCAGTCTAACCCAATTAAACTATTTGTTGTGCCGATACAATTACATTAATCAACTATAATTTACACATTCCTCTAAGCTAATAAGTGAATATTATTTAGGGTTTATGTAATTTACTCAATTGAATTCTATTTTTGCATATTTGAAGAAAATTCAATCGCCATTTCATCAGGATCACTGTAATATTTCATTTTCTTATCATAGGAAACCTATATTAATAGAGTCATCATCTACTTTAAATAAATAAAATTTGATGACGATTAGTATCAAAAAGCAAGTTCCAACAACTGCATATTCCCACATATATTTTAATAATTTTACTTAAAATATATTGGTTATAATAATTATTAATTTTTATATTTATAAATAACCTTTTTTTAAATAAATATCATACCATCTAAGAATATAGGGTATCATTTATAACTACTATAAATATATTTAAATAGAGAGTCGGCAATATATCTATTGCACTATCATTTAATGTATTATCTTGATTGTATATACTAAATGTGTTAATAATTCTCACTTTAATAAAGCGTATAATTAAAATGAAGTTTGTTATTTTAGTTTAAGTTTAATAATAAGTAACTTTAAGTAACTCTTTCTTCCTTTGGTATTGAAAATCTTTTGGATTCGAGAGAAGATATTGAATTATCTAAGATATATACAAAATAATTTATTCAATGCTAAATTCCATTTGATTTCGAAATCAAATTTCTACTTTCTTATCAGTGAAGGCATGTATGTTCAGATGCAATTTGAATGAATGAGAAGCATGATGAATCTGTTGATTATGATGGTGATGATGGTCACTATTTATATTATCATTATTAATATCACATAATTTGACACTATGTGTATGAAATAGAGATATTGGGCTTTGTGCCTCTCTAAGTGAAAAAGGAGAGGAAGGATCGCTGTCGCAGTGCTTATGTTCTAAATTAAGAATTTTGTGCTTTTTCGATTCATAAAAATCCTACTACTTTTGAGTAGGATCTGTGATTTGCAATTTTAAGTTATCAAGATATTCAAGTATTCTCTCTTCCTTTTAATTCATATGGATTGTTTATATAAATTATATTATAATACACAAATTCTGCCTTTTAAATTGTATAATTATAATGGAGTTAAAATTAAATCAAATCATTATTATAATTGTTATATCATATTTAGACAATGACTTTAGCTTTATAAAAATTCTTCAAAGAGCTAATCCGAAGGTACATTTTGTTCTTCTTCGTAATATTACAGAGTTTTTTTCAAAATTGAAATTTATTCATTAGCATTGTCTAGCTAATTTCTTAAAGTTTCATTCTGTTGATAAATTACTTTCAATTTTTTAAATTCCTCAGTACTAAATAATTATTGATTAAATAATTCCTAAGCCAATTATATATCAAAGTACTTATTTAATTTATTCGAGAATTCCCTAAGATAATTGACTGTTGGATTAAAATTAACTAGTCGATCTACTCTGCTTTGTAGATTTTAATTTTGTATTTTCAGATTGCAAAGTTTCAATCAACAGAGTTAATTTGTTATTTTCCTCTAGTAATTACCTTAATTTAAGTTCTAATTCTGGATTTTCCTCAATTTTCCTTTAACTCAATTTTTACCCATTATTATTATCACTAACCTTCTTCTTATGAAGCTAAAACTCTAGTTCTTATATTTTCATCTTGCTCTTCAATAACTCAGATTCATGACTCACTTATTACTTCGAATTCTTTTCAAATTCTGCAAAATTCTCATGCCATTGTTTAATCTCTAATTATAATAATTACTTGAATATACCTTCTTTTTGACTCTATATTGTTTTATCTGATATTTTGACTTTTTCTTTAAGCTTTTTAATTTCTTAATCCTATTATTAAATTAATTAATCCTTTTTATCTGTAGAATCCTGAATATTTTTTACTAAAATGTTCAATCTTTCATTTTCCTGAATTACCAACATGATTTAAGATTCCATCTACAACATCGAATCTTAGGGATCTTATGTGCAAATCTTTTGATATTTCTATTTCCATTATTCAATTTCCAAAGCTTAATCGTCAATAACTTTTTCTAGACTCTCAATTTTAACCTTTATGAAATCTAATTATTGACTTTCATGAGTAGATTGCTGATACTACTTTAATTCATTTTTTGTTTGCTCTAGTGCTTGGGATAAGTACATGTTTTCGTTCATTAACTATTGCATTCGCGTATTATCTTGAACTATAACAGATCTATTTTCTTAAAAGCATTTGCCTGCTTATTATTGTTTGCCATTCGGTGTAAATGCATTTGATTATCTCACTTCTGCTTGATGATTATTAACTATCAATCTCAAGGCATTCTGAGAAACTATCTATCTCTAAGGCGTGCTTGGAGCATCTTAATAATGATTGCTCATTCTTATTGCACTATTAAAGGGACTCAGCGATTACACTTATCCATTTGAAAGCACAACTTATTTTGTTTTTTGGGTTGAGTTGGTTCTGATCATTCAAAATTAAATATAACGATAATTTTCAATAATTTAATATATACTAAAGATATTAGTTGAATCAAATAACAATTAAAAATAACAACTGCAATATGAATCTTTTCTAAAAATATCTAAACAATTAAGTGACACCCTCTAAAAATAACAATATCAAAGAATAACAACTAAAAGGCGTTGATTTTAAGATGATCAAAAAAGATGGTTAGAGTTCTACAATTTCCTACTAATTAGATTTATTCTGTCTCCATAAAGTAAGGGAAAAAATCAAATAACTTTGAAAAGCCTGTGAATGGTTTTAAATGAAAACATATAATCATCAAAACTGTAAATACAAGTAGTTTAACTGTGATATATCTCATTTTAGAAGTATGAATAAGTTTGACATATTATTTATTATTAAATACAAAATGGTTACACTTCTTTTACAGATTTCCTTGCTAATTCCAAAGTAATTGTTGCTATGAATAATTATTCTGATATTAATATAGAAGCAATTATTGCTGTTTGAGAGAATTCATAATTCTAGAAGAATAATAAAAAAAACAATTTGTTTAATATCAAATCAAATGATTCGAAGCACTTTAAAAATGTTTTAATTAGATTTAAGAGGACGAATAAGTATCTTAAATCATGTTAATATGTAGTTAGTTTTTTAATTAATTTACATGCTATCAATATATCATAAAATAATTAAATATGGCAGAATGCATTAAAAAATATGGGAAATCTTTTCTCCCTTATAATTCTCTGGTTCGAAAATCATAAAATTTAAAATCGGATGCTTCGTTTGATCCTGTTTAATCGTGTGTTGTTGAATCTAAAGTTCCAGACACACAAGGAGACGCAATCTAATTCATTACAAGTGATATCCCAACAATCTAAAAAATGATTCAATCCCAATAAAATTCAAAGGTAGCCTCAAAATTATCCTACGATGGAGGAATCGAGTTATTGAAGGATAGACAAAAATATTTAGAACTACTTATATCAAATTCTCTTGATAGCAAATTGCTTTAAAGACCGCTGCTATTATTCCCAGCTTAACAGCAATACTTGAATTAGCTTGGCACATTAATTAGCCAATCGCCTAATGGTTCATTTTGTCCATTCTTGAACATAAATTAAAAGGAAAAGCAGCAGTTGCAATAAAACCTTGAATAATAACAAAATATATCAAGTATCTATAACAACACATGTCAATCCAGCTAATTCTGCAAACAATCAACCATTTTAAAGCCAAAAGCAATAAAATAAGATTTACATTTCAAAAAGGAAGAAATAAAATTTCTGAATTTAGAGGAATCTTGTCAAAGTGAGGTTATAAAATAGGAAGAAAGCAGTTGGAATGAACTTCCTTAACCACATAAGATGAAAAAACATAGTAAAAAACTCATGTCAATTGATAGTTCTGAATCCTTCAAGGTAATAAGGAAAAAAAAAGAAAAGAAAATAAATGATACCAAAAACATTACTAAGAATTTTTCGAAAGCTATCATCTCATATATCATGAATAATCCAGATTTACTTAAATAATTCTTCTCATCTAAGTAGTATGACGACTTTTTGGTTTTGCTAAAAAATAAAAAAAATTAAATGACTAATATAAAATAGTTAAGAGATCTATGGATTGATGGGGGCAAGTCTTCCGAGTTTAATAAAGTCTTTCGAATTATAAGGTATTTGTTGTCCTTAATTATATTAGTTAATACTTTTTAAAGAATCAGTCAGTAGCTTACGTTTATAACTCAAGAATATCTAATACTATATGGCATCTTAAGTATAGACAAAATTTGTTGAGAGCGTTAAAAGAACCTGAGAATTTTAGATTCATTAAGGATTTATGATTACATTGTTTGTTGTCAAATCAAAATATAGAGAATTTTATAAAGTTAAGATATTCATTATTTTTTTTAATTCCTTAGATTATTTTATTGATTCAAGATCAATAATGAGATAAAAGATTAGGGACCTGATCTAAAAAACAAACCCCATAGTCCTTTGTACAGTCCTAAGAAACCTTCTGAATAAAAGATTATTTTAATGACATGGGAACAACCTTTATAAACTGTAGAATTTCTATACTAATTAAATTTATATTCTATTATTTCATTATAAAACTATTAATTAAAATATCTAGTCAAAGCAACTTTAACAGGACATGTAAATAAACATAACCACAAAGTTGCATTAGCACTAGCAAACATATTTAATTCAGTTTAGATTTTGATCCCTTATTTTTCATGCTCATGTGAATTCAAAAACAGACAATTAAGTTGCAGACCCTAGCCTAGTTCTGAATGCCATAATGGATGATCCAGCATAAACCATATTAATTTATTATTCTATTAAATTTAGTATGGCCTTCGATTTTTAAATTTATGAATTGGTATCAATTAACCTGAATAATGATGTCTATTTCTACATGGCGAATCCTTTGTCGAAAGCATTAATCTAGTTTTAATCATATTAAATGGGCTGAAGACAAAACTTAATTTAAATATCAGATGACTTAAGCACAACACCTGCTGAAATGCCAATATTTGAGATAACCTCCACATCCTTTAAAATCTCATAGGATCCAAATGGTAATCCATTCATTATAATGAAAAATGCTATAGCAGCTTACAATCATTAATTTTATATATCTAAGATCCCTTCAGATGTAGATGTCTTTATTAATGTATTTATCACTCCAGAGTAAGCTCTCTTATAGTAACCTTCAGCAACAAATTCTCCTTAAGTTTGCGATCTTGTTTTTGCTAAATCAAATAGGTTTTTAATAAGAAATGTAGTTGCTCCAGCTATTGCACCAATTAATACTGCGTCCATTATTAAATTTAATAAAATTCGTTAATGAAAAGTGATAAGGAAATATTAAATATACTTAGACGATACAAAGAAGCAAAAGTTGAGTTAAAAAAATATTTAAGTTGGATTGAACAAATTAAAGTATGATTTAGATTTTAGATTAAGTTAGAAATGGTTTTGTCTGCATAATCAGAAAAATAATCGAATTATTATAGAATGTAGATTTAGGGTATAGATAACAAGCTCAAACATGGCAACTACCCAACTAGTGAATCTTTGACCGACGAAGTTTAAACTAAATGCAATTAAATGACCTTTTAATCATAGCAATAAGACTTAAATTAAGAGAATGTTAGGGAGTTTATTAATAAATACGAAAAAATGCTTGTCCAAAAAGAACAGTAACAGCATGTCAATTAAAATTCAGGCTAAACTCTATTAATCAACAGAGATTCCAAGTAACATTTCGGAACAAGCACTATAGAAGACATGTTTAAGCTATCTTAGTCTTAATAAGAATCACAATAATTAAATCAATTCAGTTATGACACTTCTAATTTTGGAAATGATCACATTGGTGGCAGAAGATAAGGAGAGAACTTCTTTAATAATTTGCAAAACTATTCAAAGGATTATGAATAAGAATAGAGCTTATAATCATCCAAATGTTTTAAGGATTATATGATAACTTAAGAAAAAGTAGATACAAACCATAATCAAAATAAACAGTAATAAAAAAAGTCGTTTGAATAGTTTTATTAAGAGCATGTAGAAGAAGAAATTAACAATATTCAAATGGAAATAGAGGAAATGTAAAGGTAATTTTTGAGTATACAAATATATATAGATTTCTACAAAGAGTTTAAACTGCAAAGGATAAATTAACAAATAGTTTTAAAGATCTTTAATAAATTCCTGTTATTAATAGAGAGAGCAGTGAGAAGTCTATCTAAAAAGTAACAGAAGATCTTAAGTTGATCGATATTATAAAATAAAATATGATAAAGCAGATGGAAAACAACATAGATTCAGACAAACTTAAAAAACTTAGAAATATGAAGCATTAAATTTAATTATACTTTAATAATGTAGAAGATGAATTACTCAAAATAAATGAAGAAGCATCTGTTGGTTAATGAGTATATTTCTTCATTTTTCAACTTACTATCTATATAATATTTCTAAGAGACATTTTAGTTAATTTTAATGAATAAATTATAATAAAAAATAATAATCTATAACTTAAAATAAATGTAATTAGGAGCAAAATATGTTAATTCTTGTAGAACATTTTTAAAGGAGACGAAAGATTAAATAAACGTTTGCATAATTAATAAAACTATATATCCAATTATGATTTTATTTGATAATACTTTATTCATATATGAAAGTATGCAATAATGATATTCCTTAAAATATGCATAACTCATAAATTTAATTTCAATTTAATATCGATTGTCTTTTGGACTTTTATGCTGATGCTGATAATTTTCGATCTGACATGATTTTAGAATACTAAGGTTGTATTTCAGATTTGACTTATATTCTTGAATTGGCAACATTTTTTCCCGATTTTATTTCTGATTTGTTTTCTTAATATTTGCTTTCAATAACATAACGAGTAAATTAAGACTTTTGCATCTATTCAATTTCACCCTCTTCTTGAATCAAAGTATCGTTTTCAATGTTGTTTTCATAACGTAATTAAGATTGAAAAATGAAAGGGATTTAGAATTTGAATAGGGGACTCTCTCCAAAATGACTAAATTTCATGTGTCTTAGTTGGTCACAACTCACTATTCCATGTATACACAACATCTAAGATAATACTTTCAAAAATTCATTTAAACTCAAGTGTTCACAGCATTATGTCATCAATGAAATGATATGGCTGCCTTCTCTATTTGTAAATTTTTGTGTTTTTACTAAGAAAATAACAAAATTTAAATAAAATAGTTTATTTTCTATTTAAATAACAAAAGATTACTTTAATCTCTGACTTTTTCAGCTGATCTATAACTTATTGACATTACTATATATGAAATAATAAGACCAAGCACTTTTATATAGGTGATGTTTTCAATCCAGATCATTGTTAAATAAATGATGCCAAGTTCCAGGAATATACCACTAAAAAAGTAAGTTTATACTTCCCATAAGATTATCAATTTATAAGCCCTAAGTGATTTAATGCTAATAATTACCCAATTTTTCCCAATTATAAAATTCCCAAAAATACAGCAATCCATACATAATATTCTATTTTAGTCAGAGTCAGTCCAATATCGTATCCCTGTGAAAAATAGTCAGAAACTTATTCTTCATTAAAGTATGCTGCTATGAGACAAAAGATTCCTTGAAAGAATTGCATACTCAATGTAATGAATGGAGTTTCTTCATCCCAAATGTATTCATGAATGCCATAGTCTTAAAAAATGACTTCAAATGAAAGATTTTGATATTTGTCAATTCCAAATAACTCTTTGAATTATTGATGTTATAGTTGAATAGTAAAGATCCTTTGCTTAATCATTTTCCTTAATAAAGTGTCTTTTTCTGCATAAGCATCTATGTCATCAATGGCTTCTTTGTTGAAATTGAAGATATGAAACTATTCCATATATTAATAACTATATGATAAATGATTATCGAAGTAACTATTTAGGAGTTCCAAAATAGCATCACTTTTTAATTAGTGGATTGGTATTGAGTTTTATTCGCAATGGACAATCAATTGTGCTTCCAAATATCGACTAAAGAGAGCATTCACAGCAGCCAAACTGTTCTGAATCTTTTCAGGTTCATCGTTTATATAGTTGGCCCATGATACTTTATCCACAAAACCTTTATTTTTAAATAACTATTAAAATTGAATGTGTTTGAATATTTGAATTCCAAGGGTTCTACTGGCTGCTGCAGCTATAACCATGACTAATGGCTTCCATTCGAATTTTTCATTTATTCCGAGGAATCTTTTATCAAATGAAGGCCCATGAATAAAGTATATCCAATCCTCCAATAAATAACCCAATCCCATCAGTAGATAGGAGGCCAAAGCAGTGATTGGAGTCACATTATTGATCCAACTTCTAAAGAAGGATTTAAAAATAGTGAATAGAGCTGCAAAGTGAACGATACTATAATATTTCAACTAGTGATTAGGCAATAGAACTTACTGAATGAACTGCCATTGCTATTGAAACAAATTCCATCAGACTACAAAAGAAAACCAAAGAAAATGAAAATCTGAAAGGTCTGCCCAATTAGTGTGGAGTATTCAATCGAGGGTGCTGCAAACGGAATATTTTACTTGGAATTACATAACAATTTACTTAAGGAACACTATCAAAAATAGTAGGATGCAAGCCAATCGAATTAAAAATTAGGATAAATAAAGTGCTTTGCTATTAACCAAAATAAGATATCTCAATAGTGATATGGCAATAATCTGTTATGATCCAGCCCATCCAATTGCCATCATAATATTATCAAGCATTAGACTTTTTATTTTTTAACAATATAATTTAATTCATATATATTATTATTTAAATTATGTAAAAATAAACAACTTTAACAGATTTTACTATTTTATAAAAATTAGGTGAAGGCTCCTTTGGATAGGTGTACAAAGTATTTATGATATTTATATGTTTTGGTTAAACGAAATAGTGATAATTAAGAATATGCCATGAAAAAAGTTCGAATGGGCAATCTAAAATTAAGAGAGAGGGAAAATGCATTGAACGAAATAAGAATCCTCGCCTCAATCTAAGATCAGAACATTATAGGATACAAAGAAGCCTTTTTTGATGAACAATCAAATTGCTTGTGTGTCATTATGGAATACGCATCTGGAGGAGACATTGCTAAATAAATCCAAAACTCAATTCGCAAACACACCCTAATTGAAGAAAAAGAAATATGGAAGGCCCTAATCCATATGACAAGAGGGTTGAAAGTGCTTCACAAAGCAGGAATCCTGCACAGAGATTTAAAAAGTGCCAATGTTTTTAAATCATCCAATGGCACCTATAAATTGGGAGACATGAATGTGAGTAAAGTATCACATGGAGCCATGGCAAAGACATAAACAGGAACTCCATGTAATCTTATTGAATATATACAAGACTATGCTAGTCCAGAAGTCTGGAGAGACTAACCTTATTCCCATCCATCAGATATATGGTCTCTTGGATGTGTGATATATGAGATGGCAACTCTTAAACCACCCTTTAGAGCAACAGATCTCAAAGGTTTGTTTAGAAAAATATCAGCTGGCATTTATGAAAAAATACCTAAACAATATTCTTCAGAATTAAACTTCATGATTGCTTCTCTTTTAAAAGTGCCTCCATAATTAAGGCCCACGTGTGATCAAATCTTAAATGATCAAACTGTTAAGAAATATATTGATGAGTTCGAACCATAATCCCCATAACAATAATAACTAGCCAAAGCTTAATTGCTATAAACAATTTTGTTGCCCAAAAATTTAAAATAGTTATAACAAAAATTACCTAAACCTATGTATGAAATTGATTAACCTATCCAATAATTACCTAATTAACCTAAATCTACAAGGTCAGTTTCTGTAAATGAATAAAAATATACTGAAAGACCAAAGAGTTAAACACCTTAATGTTAAAAAAAATAACCTAATGTTGTTTCTAATTAACACATACCAAGGCCTGTAATAATTTATCTCTTTTCTCTAGAAAATCCCATTAGCACCTGTTAAGCAATAGTAAGCTGCCAATATTTTGAAAGATCCTCAATCTCATAGACCAAAAGAAAGACCAGTTTCAGCTATGAGAGCTTAGAGTCCTTGCTCAGTTAGAAAAAGCGTCGATTAAAAATAGAATCGAAATCCAAGTCCTTTAGTTAGAAAGTCAAACCCTTATATTAAAAATAATGATGAGAACATTAATGCCAACATTATAAAGAAAAGAAACAACATTCCGTTAAAAAGATGATAATTATTATTGTATTTTTAATATATCTAATATTGTTTTTTCAAATATAAATTTTTTTGTTTATTTTTAATTACGCCCCTCATTAAAAATAGGCTAAAATTCTTCGATAAAAGGTTGGGTTGAATTAAATATATAACCCAATCTAAAAAATGCTGAAAAAAATCATAAATCTAAATTATTAGAAAATTGATCTTAATTGTTTAAATAACTAATATTTGGAAATATATTTAAGGTAAAGATGAGGATTATTAAATTTTTAACGTAGAATATAAATTTCTCAATAAACATTTAAAGTTATGTTTGTTCCTTCCCATTAAATAATTAGAAAATATTATAATATATAGTGAAGAATTTATAACTTCACAGAAAATTATGAAATTAAATAATAAGACTTAAATAAATGATGATTTAGTGGCTGTAATATAATGTTTCTATAAGTAAAATTATTATTATTCTAACACCAATTCGGATTTAATATTAAATGAATGTATTATCTTTATTCTTATCTTAATATCAACTTGTCAATTTTAATTATAATTAATTATCAATAATCAAAATGAAAAAAGAATTTGAAAAATCAAACAAGAAATATATTGGTCTGACAGAAATATTTAACAAAATGATATAGATTACATTGCAATCTTAAAAAAGCGTAACATTAAACTCATCAGTTTAATTGATACTTCTCTTTATGTGTAAATTTTAGTTGACATTCTTTTTATTTTACCTTAATTATGAGTGGTAGGTGGAAAAAAATTTATATATGTTTGACAAAGTCTTACTTTTAATATTTCGAATCGATATATTCTTGTAAACATTTGAAGTTATCAACAGGTTTGTTATATATTTGATTCTGAGCGTTCTAATTATTGAAAAGCTGTTTTGTGGCTTTTTGTTATGGGACTTGAAAAATAAAACTAGATATCTATATTTAAATAAAATAGTGGGACTTTATATTTAATTATATTATGGATGGCTTCACATTTTGCTTACAACTTTAACTTGTTTATTCTTAACTTATTAATATAATTAATTAGATGTAAACAGCCTTAATTATATTCATTTATTATTTGGAATTCTTTGTTTTGTATTACTGTAATTAGAAGCAATTTTTAATTTATTAATCTGTGAATAGTCAATAGATGGCAAGGTCATTTGTTTTGATCGATTAAGAATCACAGTTAAGGAATACATAATCTAATTTTTAAATTTGATCATCATCATATTATTTTCAGTAATGAAAACCTCTCAGGTGATCTCTTGGATCATTCATTTACTTATTTTATTAAGCACCTCAATAAATTTAATTAATTTATAAGAAAGTTAAACAATCATTGAAAACAGTAAAAAATTTATAATTTACTTATCCGATTCATTTACAATTGTCTATATCTTTTATTCCCTAGTCTGGTAAATTGTTTAGAAATAAGATTTTTAAGTCTTGATTTATACAATCTTTTCATTTCCATTATTGCTAAAAATAGTATTAAAGTTTGATAATTTGATTGTTACAAAATTAGATCATTTAGCATTTTCTAGATAAAAAGTTGATATTTTTGCCATAACCCAATTTTTGATTAAAAAGTAAAACAATTAGTTCTAACCAGTATTATTCAAGCTATACATCTATAATTATCATTAAAAAAAATGTAAAGATATAAAATGCATTTGTAATCAATCAATCATGTACCTAGATCCAAAAGATGCAGCAGCACTCACGCAAGATATAGACAGAGATTTCGTTCATCAAAAACTAAAGCAGATTAGAAAATATCTTTTTAATTAAAATATCAACAACATAGATGAAATATAATATTATACAGTTTTGTATGGAGTCTTGTTAGCCAATAATGGATGGCCTATTTAATCAATAAAACATTTAAATTAGTTAATCTATGGAAAATTAACCTCTAAAAGCTCAATGATGAATGTCAACTAGAGCCTGCAAAATCCTCATTCTTTTTCAGCAACTATAAGAAAAGATTCCTCATCTTAGACATAAACAGATCCTGATAAATAGCTTGATGATATTAAAAAAAGCAATTAAGTCAAATCTTACAAATAAGCCATACCCTACTAAATAAGTTTTGATTAAATATAATTGTCAAAAATATTGTACATTTAAAATGAAATCAAAGAAAACTTGAGATATTTGTTTGGCAATACATCTTTGACATCAGAAATGCATAATTTATCTGAACAAATACAAATATTTATGTAATAAGAAATGATGTTAGATAAGTATGTGAAGGAAATCAAGAAAATATTAAAATTGAAACTTAAATACTATGAGAATTTAATGGTATTAATAAAGGAGAAGAAAATGTCAGAACTTATGAAATCATTAATGCACATAACAAATAAAATGATATTATTTAAAACAGTCTTATAATCACAATACGAAATCCTTTAAAGTAAAAGATTATAATCACTACAAATCTTTTACGAAGCTGAAGTATTTAAAAATTACTTAGACGCTTTTAAAATGCACAATTAATCGACTCTATCTTAAGAATAGATATAAATAATCAATAAAAATCTAAATATTAATTTTAACTAAAATGATATGAGCTATATTATTTTAAAAATAGATGATGATCTATAGAATGCTGAATTAATAAAATATTCATCAAATTTACTGCAATTAATAGAGTATAATTCTAAAGAAGAATTGACCTTTGAAGAATTTTTGTTACCCTTTATTTTGAGGGAGCATCCACTCCTTATTTCTAGATTTTTTAAAATTGGATAATCAAAATATTACAAATAATTTAATCAAACATTTATTAAAACAAAAAATAATCTTGCTAAATCTATAGTGTTTAGTTTTGATAATGTTGTTTAACAAAAACAAGACAAAATTATCTTAGTTGGATTATTGCAAGAAATTGTAATTCAATAGGCATACATTATGATTGATGTAAATCAAATAGTAGGTGGTATTACAAATGCATTTTTCTCATTATTAGGGTATAATTAATAATAGATTGATAATATTTTCGATTTTTCGATATTTTATTAATTAAAGATTTCATAGATTTTACCTAATTTTAATGAATTAACTTAAAATGAAGATGAATCAAAAGTGTTTAAGTTTAATAATGTTGATTTTTATTTCATAGACTTAGAAGCATTGTTTAATGAATTTTCTCTTGAGAACTGCAATACTGTGAAATAATAATAAGTTACTTTAAATAAACTATGGGGTAAGCAAAATAGTACAAAGTATTATCTAACAAATATTACCATCTAATCCTTTTACATTTACGGATTTTATTATTACGTAATACATTTAGATTCATCATTATAAAGAAATGAATATATAAATAGCAGTAAAACTTAAGATAAATTTAGTGATGATAGGGGAAAAACAGAGCAATCATAAAATTTTCAAATAAGTCGCTTAGAAATGTCTATAGAAGAAGCACAACCAGGAACAATCAATTAGATCTCCATTTAAAGTAGAGAAGGGTATTCAGAAATAACTCACGCAAAAAATAAAAATATTGATTTATTTGCAGTTTAAGAGGTTCAATAGGAGGAAGTAGAGTAGAAAGCAGATTAATTTTAATTAATCCTCTCGCCAAATAAAAGTACAAGTCAGTTAATTGATCATCAAAGAGATAGATTTATTTAATCAACTTTACAGTAAGACTATTATACTGTAAACACAAGTTAAAAATTGAATAAGTTGAATCGAAGCAATGATTAGAAGGAATAAAATATTAAGGGAGAACAGATAATTGACAAGCTTTTTCGAGAGTCTTTGAAAAGCACTGAATTCGGGGTGGGTAATAGTGAAGTGATTAAGAAATTTGAATTATTAAGTAGATTAACAAAAGAAAAAACACCTTCGATGCTAAAATTAGCGATTAGTACAATAGTGATTTTTATCTTGATTTAAACTATTTCTCTATCACTCGTAGTGTCTATTCTTAACAATGATATATTATAATTTATTTCAGATGTTGAGATTATTGCTTTACATGCTAGCATTTAAGGACCGCATGACTTATTTTTTTCAATGAGAAATACTATCTCTGCATATCAGTAAATGGGAAGAGAAGGTTATATACCGAGTTCAATAGTAACAAACTTAACTGCACCATACGAACAGAATTTAGGATATGGATATTATGAATTGAGGGACAGTTTCTATAAACAACTTGATAATGAATATTTGAGAGGTTTTCTTGATGGAGAAAGCATGGAATTGTATTTTATGAAGAATAATGATACTTAAAATTATGCTTTAGAAATAAAGACTTTTAGAGAATGTTTATTTATCATATTGTAATATCAGTATGCATAAATGAGAGTGCTGTAAAATAAGTTGAGTGCTTCTGGATAACCATTTCAAGTGTTTTTATTCTCTAATTATTATAACATACAGGATAAACTAGAAAACATAACCAATGATATTTTGTAGTATTCAAAGACAAGGAGTGTACAGGTTGGAATAAAATGGAGTTCAATCAGTATTTGTTTTTCAGTTCTAATCTTAATAATAGCCTTGACAATTGCATTTTAGCTTCATTAATACTACAAATTATATGATAGATTTTTATAGTTATTAAATTTTGTGGATAAATAGAAAGTGTAATTCGAAATTGAAAAGCTAAATCAATTGTTAAAAGTATTAATATCAAATCAGGATTGTGTTTACTCTTATGAATTTGATCTTTAGCATTAAGAATCATTGATGCAAAATTATATCGCTTTAAATAAGGTTTCAAATAGTAAGAAAAATGTAGAAAACAACTCGTAGCTCTAAATTCCAAGAAGATATTTCTTAATTGTTTGGACCTTCATTGCTTGTATTTTTTAGGTTTATATAATTGTGACTCAAATTAAGACTAATGATTATATCAACAAATATGATGATACTGCAGATTTCTATTTCATGATATAAAATTTAAAATTTAGAAGTGGGTCTATGTACATGTACAGGGAACATCTTTTTAGATTTAAGAATTTTACTTACTTAACAGAATACGATT